GGAACTGCTCTAAGCGACTTCAAATAATCACAAAAGGCAGTAGTAGAGAGTAAAGAGGCATGACAAGTGCCAAGTGGTACCCAGGTCCCCCTCCACAAAAACACTGGCTCCTGGCTCCAAAATGGTTGCAGGAGCTGCCTGTTGATAACAGCACAGCAGAAAGTTGACACGTCTTCTTCTGCAAACTGAAATCCACCTGTTACGACTGCAGCTACTGTACTTAGCAGGATTCGGCTTATTTGAACTCAATTCAGTATTACTTATTTATTGCTAATGTAATGACAGGATTCTATCTTTTTTAAATGTGTTTCTTCATGGTTGAATTCTCTAACTGAAGCTTCTTTTGATCAAAGGTCAGCTAAAGGCACTGTAATGTAATAAAAGTTATTCACCGAGGGGTTCATACGCAGCAAACCACGACAGAATCTTCACACAACTTTAGATTTTTGAGTTGTTGCATGTTGGGCTACGGATGCGGAGTGGGGTTTGCTTTACTGGTGTTTAACTGAGTGTGTGTCTTCTGACTGACAGGTGACTTTGCGGTACTGCTGAAAGCGGGGATGTCAGTGAAGCAGGCCATCTTCTACAACCTGCTGTCCGCCCTCATGGCCTACGTGGGCATGATCATCGGCACGGCCGTGGGACAGTACACACACAACGTCACCAGCTGGATCTTTGCCGTCACCGCGGGCATGTTCCTGTATGTGGCGCTGGTGGATATGGTGAGTTGAAAATAGTCCTGCTTCACTTTCATTGACATTCTTCTATCTGCCTATTGTTGTGCAAAGCTAATTCCATTTCTGATCCTGATTCTGTCTCCCTACAGCTGCCAGAAATGCTCCACGGGGACAGCGAGGACCACAAGCGCTGCCAGCTGGGTCACTTTGTCCTGCAGAACCTCGGCATGCTGACCGGGTTCGGCCTCATGCTGCTCATCGCCATCTTCGAAGACCGCATCGTTTTCAATTTTGGCTTTTAGTCTAGGAGCTAGTGGGGAGGGTAGCTGGGAAGTGAGAGCTGGGTGTATCAATATTGTTCTCCATGGCCTTAACATGCTTTGTTTGCGATGTAACGGCCCAGTGTTGCATGCAGTGTGGGTCTCGTTCACGGCCAGTGCCTCCATTCCAAACATGCAGCGGTAGCTTATGCATATCTCATGACTCTGCCAGTGATGTTTACACTCTGCTCCTCCATTACCTCTCCTCTGTCGGCTCCAATCTGTCTGCTCCCCGAGAGGAGAAAAAAAAAAAAAGGCCCAATGAAAGAAGAGCGACGGGAGAAGGCCTCCTCCGCTCCAAACCAGTGACCTCCATCTAAAAACGAGCTGTTGGTGGCGCGGGAAAAGCGCGTACCCGCAGAGAGGCAGCTGTCACGGCCCAGCAGCCCATCGCCTATGCACCGTCACCTGTTGTTAGTGCTTTGTTGTCTCTCATCCACCCTGTGCTGTGTCCCATCATCCATGCCTCCTACATCTGCGGTGCGTGTTCCACCCGCCATCCATCATCAGCTTGTGATGTCATCACGCTGTGTGTCATACATCTCTCAAGCCCTGGCCACTGGAGCAGCGACAGTGACGGAGGTTAGCTTGCGTCTACACCTGGAAGAAAACTTTTTAGAGCTGCAATAATTAAGACGACTAGGAGTTTAAAACTAAGTCATGCCTTTTTGATATTCGGTTGATCGTTTTAAGTAATTTTTAACGGACAAATGTCAGAAAATGCCGTTTTGCCTCTTTAGTATAGAGGTTTCTCAGTTTCATATACTTAAGTCACAATCTTTCTGTTTTGGATTGATAAGACAAGACGTTAACTCTGACTTTTAGACGCTGGGATAGATATTTTTAATAGTTTTCTGACATTTTATTGACCAAGCGATTAATCGATTAGCCTAGAAAATAAGATTGAAAATAATTATTTTTTGCAGCCCTTAACCCTTTGGCTTATGTTGCTTTATAGTCAAAATGTGTTGACGCCTAAAAGCTACAGTGTAAAAAACGAAACGCATTCCCCCGACTTTACGTGGCAGATCTTCCGAATGGCTCAGTGTTAGTTAGTTTTTTTGCTGCAACTTTTTTTCCCATTTATGTCTTATTGCCAATTAGATTGTTTTGGGATCATTAAAACTTTTGTAGTTCATAGTGTTTGCTAACACAGCTGCCAATGCCTTTACAAACTAGCATTTAAGACTTTTGGTTAGAAAGTAGAATGTCTGACTTTTTGAAGGGTTTGACAATCTATAGTCAGAGATGTATCCTCATTACATTTTTTATCTTTCTTTATAAGAATCGGCAGTTTCAAAATGTGAATTCTGAAAAAGCTAGCTCTTCCTCTCTTCACCTAAAGGTGTTGTAGTTAGCTAGATTTATTTAGGGTGCCTCTATGAGTTCCTAAAGGGTGCTTCGTTCAATCAGACCACCCAGCAGTGGACCTTTATTTACAGTAGGTAGGTTGAAATGTCACACCAATGCAGATGGTTTTTATGTACTGTAAACACATGAAGTCTTTATAACATCAGTAGTAAGAAAGCACATGTTTGTTGCTGCTCAATAATAGTTTTGAAGGTACAAGGAATCAATTCCTGACAATCTACAACAGACCAATCAAAAGAGGAACAATTTAGCTTGTGTCAGCTTCCCCTGCACTTGTAATGGATCAAACCATTGATACAGATAATTATTTTTATTATTTAACTTTTTTTTTCTTTTTTTTTTACAAGCATTCCTTGCGTTTGTACCCCAGGGTGTATGTTATAGTCACTCAGATGACTGTGCCAAACCTGACCCGTGTGGTTTTTCAGTGGCTGGTGCTTGACACCCCTCCCCCTACATTCCATTGGCTGTCCCACAGCTAACATGCTAGCTCGCCTAGCTTCAGTTGCTGGATCACACAGATTCTGTGTGTGTTTTCATTTATCCTGTCACTGTGTGACATCCATCATCGTATGTGTCAACTGGCTGTAAATCATTGTTGGTCACATCGAACCTGTGTTATCGATCCGACTGAACCATGCATGAAGCATGAGAGAAACGGTACAGACATTGTGTTGAGTGTAAATTTGTTTTCATTATTTTCTACTGCAAAGTTAAACTATTGACAACCTTTGTTACTTTTTAAATGAACTGTGTCTGATGTTCATGTGGAACTCTTTGGGGCGTAGTGTAATAGGCCTGAGATAATCTAATTTATCTACACTTCTGTTTACAGTCATTTTAATATTTCCAACTATTCTTACACCATGTTCTGCATTAAAATAAGATTATTTGAATTTTTTCAGTTTCCTACGATAAACATTTTTGTATTTTTTTAAAGACTAAGTGTACTTTTTATTTCCATTATTTCTCTACGAGGTCTTGAATTTCTTGTGTAATTAAATGGTACTGACAAGTGTGTGTGTGATAAGGGTCCATGACACTTAACACACTATGCCCCAAAGAAGTTTCTCCTGTACTCATCGAGCAAAGAATTGTCTGTAAAATGAAGGTCCATGATTTGTTCTCACTTTTGCTTTGTTGTATGTATGTCTGTTCAGTAAGCTGGATATAAAATGCAAAGTGTGACATCCTTACTGTTCGCCTTGTCTGTGCATTCTCCACTGTACGAAAGAAAATAAACCTTGAAAAGGTCTCTGATGCTTCTGGCATAATGTTACAGAGACAACTGTTGTGTAGCTGCAAAACCGTGACAGCTTAACACATCTATCAGTATCTTTTCTGCGTCACGCTGCTCTATTCCTCATTTATTTCATGTGTCAGTCTACATCCCAGATCAACGGGTTAAGCCAGGCTCATTCTTTAATAAACATGCATGCTCAGGAAACTATGCATACATAGATTGTCTAAGTTGTCTAAAACGAAGAGCATCATGTTGAAATATTAGTTTTATAATGGCTGCATTACTGTTGTTTTGTATGTAAATATGCTAACATGCTAAGTGCTAGCTTATCAAGATTATCTACAATCAACTGAACCATCGCAACACTTGGTTGCTGTGGCTCAGGAGGTAGATGGTAGACCTCCAATCAGTAGTTTGGTGGTTTGATCCCCAACCCTTGCAGTTAACATGTTGATGTGTCCTTGGGAAAGATACCTAATGCTATATTGCTCTCAATGGCCGACAATGCGTAATTGTTTGTCTCCCCGAGCAGATGGCTCCTTATATGGCAGCCTCTGCCTCTGTATGAATGTGTGAATGAGTGAAGGCAAACTTTTATATGTAAAATCACTTTGAGCAAAGACTGGAAAATAACTTTATAAATCCAGTCTATTACAATTCACTTTCATACTCAACGTCCCCCTCGAAACAAATCGGGTCCCTACAGCTTAAAGCAAGTTAGATTTCAGACTTCTTTAATACCACTGGGAAATGTTTTGATAACTAAAAAAACGGCATAAATCAAGGACAATTTTGTATATCTTGTAACAAAAAACGGGTTTCATAGCAAGTATCACAGAATTGGTACGTTACTGTTTTTTGGCTAGCTAGAAGACAACACATACTCTTTTTTGTTATCTTGAACGGAGTGCGAGGCATTTAGTAAAGTTATTAATTAAAATTAGCTGATTTTCTGCAGTGAGGATCAATTTAAAAGTATGTAAAAAAGGCCCAGCTGTAATTGATGTTTTGTTTAACATGGTTTTCCTATATAAAAAGAAAAGTCTTCCGTGCACCAAAATCTGTGACAAGCTGATGTTTCAGAACGGTAAGTGAAGTTAGCATCTTTGTCTTGATCATGCTGTTTGTGAGCTTGTTATCTTGTAACCGGACACATTGAATGACATTGTAATGGTTGTGGATTTGTTGGTAGAAATGTACTGAATGGCTGTTTGGAACATACTCAGTATCTATTTTTTAGAAGCAAAGGCACATACTGTACCCCTTCAGTGGAGGAATGTTAAAAACAGCAATCTAGTGACAAACTTTGCACTCATACGTCAGGATAGTTAAGGTGAGAAATATTATGGTACATAAAGATTTTTTAAATATTTTTTATTGGAGGGGATCTTAAGGTTAACTTTGACACTACCTTTTTGTTAATACATTCTCGAACAAGACAATAAAGATAGGAACTAGTGCTTCTGTTTGAGAACAGTACAAACTATACTTGCTGTGTAAAATAGACACTTTTCAATCTTATTTGATGAGCTGTCAGTGCATGTGTGTGAGACAAACTGAGCCTAGGAGTTGAGCTGGCAGAGCAGCGCTACGCCTCGTCGGATCCAGTGTTCAGCCGCTACGTTGGTGTTGAGCGTCATGGCGATGACGTAGTTGGTGGAGTGTCCGGTGGTGGACAGGGTGCCGCGCCGCTCGCTGGTCTTGTAGACGGGCAACACGTAGCACATCCTCTGGGGGATGTCCTGACGTTTGAGGGGCTTCAGCCACATCTGACGGAGAGAGACGATCGAGGAGACAGACGGGGGTCAAATGAGGTGACTTTAAAATGTAAGATGTGGCTGCCACATCTACTTCCATTCACAAGTTGAGCACTGTCCTTTAGGGTCTGGATTACATTAAACACTTTTGACTGGGGGTTTAATTAAACTGGCAAATGAAATTCTCTATGCGTCTGCTGACGAACAACACATTTAACAATCAGGATTATAGACAGACTTATAATGATGTAGTGAAGTACATGTACTAAAGTATTGTAATTAAGTTTAATTCTTGTAAATTTACTCTCTGCCTACTACTTTTTAGAAGCCAATATTGTCATTTTTTTCCTTCACTACATGTATCTGACAGCTTGAGTTACTTTACAGATTGAGCCAATAAAAAATATAAATCAAATATTGAATAAATATTGATAGTGTAATTATGAGATAAAATATTTAGCAGCAGTATACAAAGTAATTAAAGGGACCCTATTATTTTTCTTTGGGGTTTTCCCTTTGCTGTAGTGTGTTATATACAGTCGAGGAAATAAGTATTTGATCCCTTGCAGATTTTGTAAGTTTGCCCACTTACAAAGAAATGAACAATCTATACTTTTAATGGTAGGTTTATTTTAACAGTGAAAGTAAGAATATAAAAATAAAATCCAGAAATTGACATTATATAAAAGATAAAAATTGATTTGCATTTAACTGTGGGAAATAAGTATTTGATCCCCTTGCAACAAACAAGGATTCTGGCTCCCACAAACCGGTTACATAAGTCCTCTTCCTTTAAGAAAGTACTCCTAATATCAACTTGCAACCTGTATAAAAGACACCTGTCCACAGAATCAATCAATCAGATTCCAACCTCTCCACCATGGGCAAGACTAAAGAGCTGTCTAAGGACCTCAGAGAGAAGACTGTAGAGGCACAAGGCTGGAAATGACTACAAGACCATCAGAAAGCAGCTTGGTGAGAACGAGACAACTGTTGGTGCAATTATTCGGAAATAGAAGAAACACAACGTGACCATCAATTGCGTCAATTGAGATGTTGTGTCTGGGGCTCCACACAACATCTCCCCCTGCGGGGTATTGGTGATCATGAGAAAAGTGAGATATCAGCCAGGAGGGAGGAACTTGTTAATGATCTCAAGGCAGCTGGGACCACAGTTACCAAGAAAACTATTGGTAACACACTACACCATAATGGATCAAATCCTGCAGCGCCTGAAGGCCCCCCTGCTCAAGAAGAACGTGATCGAACCGTCTGAAATTTGACAATGGAACATCTGAAGGATTCAGAGAAGGCTTGGGAGAAGGTGATGTGGTCAGATGAGACCAAAATCCTGATCTTTGGCATCAACTCGACCCGCCGTGTTTGGAGGAAGAGAGATGCTGACTGTAACCTCCAGAACACCATCCCCACCGTCAAGCATGGAGGTGGAAACATTATGCTTTGGGGGTGTTTCTCAGGGGGGACAGGACCAGTTCCCTGCATCGAGGAGAGGATGTACAGGGCTGTGTACCATACAATCTTGGCCAATAGCCTCCTTCCCTCAGCCAGGACACTGAAAATGGGTCATGGACGGGTCTTCCAGCAGGAAAATAAACATATGGCCAATGCAACAAAGGAGTGACTAAAGAAGAAGCACACTTAGGTGATGGAGGGGCCTAGCCAGTCTCCGGACCTTAATCCCATAGAAAATCTGTGGAGGGAGCTGAATCTTCGAGATGCCAAGCATCAGCCTCAAAACCTTCAGGGTTTGGAGAGGGTCTTCAGAGAGGAGTAGACCAGAATCCTTCCTGAGATGTTCACAAACCTGGAGACCAACTACAAGAAGCGCCTGACGTCTGTCTGTCCAACAAGGGTTTCTCCACCAAGCACTAAGACATGTTTTGCAAGGGGATCAAATACTTATTTCCCACAGTTAAATGCAAATCTATTTTTATCTTTTATATAATGCCAATTTCTGGAATTTCTTTTTGACATTCTTTCTCTCATTAGTCAAATTAAACTACCATTAAAATTATAGACTGTTAATTTCTTTGTAAGTGGGCAAACTTGTAAAATCTGCAACGGATCAAATACTTATTTCCTCCACTGTAGGTTTTTGTGCATGTAAATGGTCTGCAAAGGCTAAAATCCCAGAGTTCATCTACCGCAGTCCATAATAGGGCCCCTTTAAATGTAGCTCCACCTTTACCAGCTGTGATGAGCTGGTTAATGTATCAATAATAACAATGCAGTTATTTGATATATATGATTCTGAAATGGGCTAATACGCAAAACAAGTACTTTTACTTTTGCCAATACTTAGATATTTCTTCAATAAGTTCAATAAATTGGAGCAACTTATTTCTTTTTACTTTTACTTAAGTACAAAATCGAAGTACTTTTTTCCCCACTAGGGCATGAAACACAGTAGGAACTTATCTGTATCTATATCTGTTATCCAAACATTATCTTACAAATTGAAACTTTGGGGAAGTAAACTTATAAAACAATAGTATTAACAAGGAAGAGTTCCCCTTGGGCTATTAAGAAGTCTTGGTTATGCAAAAATGATAAACTGGGCCACTCATAAAAACATCTTTAAAAACAAAACAAAACCCGAAACAGTTTGTTGAGTTGCAGCCAGAAAAGTCCTCATCTGGTTCCATAACGGGCGCTTCTGTGCAGATTTGCATTTCAAAGCCAGCCTCTGTTGTGCTCTTCCACCCCACATAATAATAAACACATTTTTAATTAAGTTCCGCTCTTGTCAAAAAACTGATTCTGTTAATAACTTGCCCCGAAATGTCTGAATATTCAAAAAGTCGGTCTTGTGCATTATTCATAATCCCTGAATGCTTTGTGAAGAACAGAGGGGGAATGAAAAAAGAGGGGAAAACTTGATCAGCTCTCTGCCACTGGCACTCTGTTCCATCACCCTGTCAGTCTGCTTTCATATTCAATATCAAGCTCTGGTAATGAATAAAAGGATGAGAGAGCGAGGCTTCCTGCGGGCACAATGTAAAAAAAACAGAAGTATGGCGTCCAGAGAACAAGGAGCTGCTAACATCCTCCTGGGTAGAGAAACAGCTACAGGATGGAGCTTGTTGTTCACTTTCTCCTCCGAGACTCACAATATTAGTCTCAGATTTTTTTAACAGCCTGAAAATGATGCCCCATTTTCATAATTTGACACGTGAACAGAAAAAAAACGTTTTCGCCCCGAGATATCCACAGGGGCAGATTCAATACACCTCCTCCCCTCAAACTTTATGTAAGAATGTTATGCAACAAGGATTATTTCTTTTCTTTTGACTGCTTGTCTGTACTTGTTCTCATGGTACACTGCCATGTGATCCTACCTTAAGGCTTCATAGTTGCAGCTGCAGTTTGAACCACAGTTGTATTATTCAGGGTTGTATTGCCTACTTTGTTCGTCATTTGTCTTTTTCATTGCGAAAAAAAGAAAAGGCTCAACAGTTGCTGATTATTATTATTAGTAATATTAAAAAGGTTAACCCGCACTCAAATAGAAAAACAACTAAAAACTAGACTTTTATATAGTGGCCAAACTGTGCAAATGTGCTACAATCGCCAAAAACACTAACATTAGGAGAAAAGCAATGCACTTTCAAAAACGATGCAAAAATAAAAACACAAATGTTGGCCAATTTATAATCCTGGGCCGCCAACAAGAGTTCCTGTCCCATCTGTGTGCATCACTTTTTAGTGTCCACGGTTCCGTTCCGTTTTTCTTACAGCGTTTTTTTATTCAAAGCTTTTCGTTTGTGCAGTGTTTTTGCCAACATGGATGAGAAGTGATAAGTTCTAAAGCTCCAGAGCAGCTACAGTACTTAATGTACATGAGTGGTTATTGTTTGATCATTTATATTTAAAATGTTTTCAAAGTAAGCATGTGTCTGTTTTTATTCTGGTTCATTCCCAGGTTTCTTCAGGCATCTAAATAACTCTGGTGTTGTTCCAACTGATGCTTATACAATTGCTTAGCGTTCCAGGAATAAAAGTCTCATTCATAATTTCCAATATGCAATGTTGCGTAACTCACAGTTATAGTTCTTGTAAAGGTCAAATAAATGACGGTTGACAAGTGGTTAAACGAGACTACCAAACGCTGTTGAAGTGAAGTCATGTGACTGTGATGAAGTTCGTTTAACGTCAGCTTTTTACTTCTACCAATTGTATTTAACCTTAAAAAATATAAACGTGGTGTTAATTTGTGGAGATTAAAGTGCTAAACATAACATGTAAATACCATATATTTTTGTCTGCCACAGATCATATTTTCTTCTCTTCAGTATTTTCAGAAATCCAATGGAAAAATGTAAATGTTGTCGAGGGAGCCCTTGTGCCAATATTGATGAGATTATTACAGGCTACAGAGTTATTATGGCAAAACAACAAGAAAAAAAGGACGTTGTCAAACATGCACACAAAGTCAGGTTAAATAAATGAAGTAGCAATAGCATGTGTGAAGATTCTAAAACTCTGCTCTATATCTATATCTCTGTGCTTCTCACTCACCACAGGCATGGGGTCGTGCAGCACTTTGGGGTAGGACTCAGCGAGGAGTCGGGCCTTCCTGTCCCAGCGGGCACCATCCAGAAACAGACCTCTGATGTACACACCTGAGGGTCACACACACAAACACAAAGAGATCATTCAGAGGAACAAGGAAGGTTAGTGTTACTGAGATATTAATATAATCGTCTACCTCCTAGTAACTTTCCACAACCTCTAGTCGTGAAGGAAAATGTTGGCAAGCAACTGTAAAGCTTTATAATAAGGAAAAAAGCATGTGAGCTCTGCTATTAGTATGGTGGGGAGATACATGTGAGATTAAGAGATAACCAACTGCCTGTATCAGACACTAAAATGCACAAACACACCGTTAGATTTGTAGCCTGGCAGTAAAGGATGTGTATGTGTGACTGGGCCCCAGGTGGGGACTGACTATGGACTCTGACTTTGAATCTCTCAGCAGAGCTGGAGGCACAGCCAGGAGCTCATGAATTACACCAATGCATTCCTTCTGATTATTTTTGGCTTTCATGTATTGTTTTTAGTTGTAATTATTATTATGAGAATTATTTTTTTATGATTTTCATCATAGAGAGGCTAATTAAAAAAGTTCCCCCAGATATTCACACAGTGATCAATTTCCCTTATTTATGTGATTACAGGAATGACTTTTTTCTCCTCTCATTAAATGTGTCTTTTCAAATGTTTTATGTCATACTTCTGTTTACACACCTCCTGTTGTTGTTGCTACTACACAACAGCATTGTATGTTGTCTGTGTGATTTTTGTCAATTTTAAGATGGGAAGTCTATTTGTTTATTTTATATACTGGTTTAAGGAATAATTTGAGGGTTTTCTTGTCAATAATTCGAATTTTGCTCAGTTTAATTGTCAGATGTGCTGTATAACTTTAAAATAATTGTATAACTTACTTTTCAGAATTTAGAATATTCAGGATTTTAAAACTATACTATTTTTATGCGATTCATATTGTTATTATTTTACCCATATTATTTAGCATATAAATGATATTGGTTTTGTTTTATATTATTAATTATTTAGTATCTATGGTATTTCATACTGTTAAGTATTCTTTTTTTTATTGTAAAGAAGCTGTGTCTAATTATTTACACTCAGTTTTCATCTGTTTGTTGTGGTTTTTTCTTCCCAGCCAAAACATGTTATGTTCCGCTTTTCCTTCCCTTGTGCATTTTTTAATATGATAATAATAATAATAATAATAATAATAATAATAATAATAATAATAATAATAATAATGCATTTATTAGAGCGCTTTTCCAGGTGCTCAAAGCGCTGGATTTTATGTTCTATCATTCCCTCATCAGATGCTCTCTATATTTCTGGTTTGTTCTCTCTACCTTCAATAAACTAAGAGATGGTTTGTAGAACAGAGACATGTAACCCTATCAAAAGCTCCTAATATCCTGCTTTGCTTTTAAACTATGTTCTATCCACCAATGTTCCCCCTCTTATTATCCTACCATCCTCTGGGGGCCGTTTGTATTGGTGGTCGTCCAGGACTTCAAAGTCAAAGCCGAGTAAGTCGATAGGGACGGTGTGTTTCCTGGCATAGTTCTGCTGGCTGCCTGTGAGGAAGGCCTGGGTGAAAAAGAATCCTGATACCCAGAAAACAGCTGGGGTGCCGTGGTCATACCAGTCCTGAAAACACAGCAGAGAAGAAAGAGGAGAGGGGGAAATTAAATAGAAGGATATGTATAACCAAAATCAACCAGAGTACAGAGGACCTATCGGCTTTCAGAGGATTTCAGATGGTTGAATTTTGCTACGGTTTGGGTCACAATTTTTGCTTTAAGTTTTGAGTTTAAGGTTAAGGTTAAACTATAAAAGACTATCCATTGAGAGTCAGTGCACATTGGGGCATGCGAACAAACAGGTATAATGTTTATCGGGTTTGCCAGTTTAGTTTAGTGTGTTAGCATGCTCACATTTGATAATGAGCTCTAAACACACAGATGTAAGAGATGGAAATGTGTTTAGTTCTACAGGTTCTTAGTCAGAAAGTATTGTCTAGATCCCCGTTTTTAAGTTTGGGGTTAGTTATGTAACATTTATCATGAAGTTCACGAAAGCAACAATGAACCTGTGTAATATGTATACTTCTAGGCTTTGTTTCCTGAATACACTTGGAGGAAACTGATGTTTTTGTCCTTCTCAACTCTCTTCAAAACAGCAAACAGACATATTCCTAAAAAAAGTAAAGGTATTCTGTTCGTAAAGCATGCTGCCTTAGATAAGAAACCCGTGACTTGAAATTTCCCCCTGTGGGGAGTCATGGGTGGACATCTCTGTTCACACACACTCACACAGACACACACACAAAACATCTTTCACTCCATTGAGCAAGTATCAGGAGTGAAACTGTTTTTCTCCTGTGAAGACAGAAAGGGAAGCATGAGAACTGACTGATGAAGAAGTTCACTTTGCAGACTCACATGGTTATGTCATGTGTCTGCAAGTGTTTCTTGTACCAACCGTGCCCATGAGCGAAAAGGATTACTGAATCCCCCTCGCTCCTGTGTATACACAAGTAATGGAATGGTCTTGTGTAACTCATGTGTGACACAGCTTAAGGCTTAAAAAGGCAGGGCTTCAGTTCACTATAGAGGGTCCAGTATGCAACTTTTCATGTGATACTAGCCCTGAGAGGCCAATTATTGTTTCAGAGACTTGTGCTGTGTCTCAATTCGCATACTTCTGTACTCACGGTTGCTATTTTGATAGCATAAGTGCATACAAATGCTGTGTATGAGCTCAGCAGCTGTGTGCAATTTGAGAAAACGCTAACCATTTGAAATTCACACAATGTGCGAGCTTTCACAGTATATGACATGGCTTAGAAAAAAGCTTCATATTGAGACGCAGCATTGTACAGTACATTCAATAAAACGTTTTAGAGGCGTGTGGTAGCCCAAATCCTAACCAAGTCATTTTAAGTTAGGTATCCTTGCATCGGTATAGTAGCTATTGTAACCAATGTGAGACATTAGCCCTAGCCACCAGCCAAATGCTGATAAAATATGACTTTGCTCAGACAAATCAATGTTGGCTCTAGAAAGGTTAAGCTGTAGAAGCATGACCTTTATCAATACTGAAAAGTGTGTGTTTATTAAAATAAGTAAAGAGCAAAGAAGGACTTTTCTCCGAGGATAAGTCGTTTTTTCTCTAAACCAACTTTGTTTAAAAAAAAAAAAAATGATTTAGTGAAGTTTTATCTACAACTTATTTTCAACATGGTTTACTATGAAATATTTTAGACCTAATGTACCATGACTTTCTTGTTTGTTTTTAAACTTACTATACTGCACTTACGAGATTATTATGCAGTTTTTAGCACATTTTCAACATACGCCGTTTTTTCTGAAATGCTTAAAGGTCCCATGTCATGCTTTTCCGGTTATTACCCGTCCCCTTGTGTGTTATGAAGGTTTTTATGCAAACCAGGGGTGGGGAACCTTTTTCCTCTCAAGGGCCATTTCAATTTTTTCAACATCCTCCGAGGGCCGTACAAATTATTGACCTCTGCTTAAAAATACTAAAATCACAGCCCATTCATTTCGCCTTTCTTTCATGCTGTGCAAAGAAAAAGCAACCTCTTAATCCAGATATCTTACCATGACTCGCGCATGCATGCACGTGCACGGTTGCATGACCACCAAAACAGAAAGATATGGACACAAGATGTCTGCAAATGTATTTAGTTTCCTATCCATGTGGACATGGTTTAAGTGGGGGGGGGACCTAACCTCCTCTAGGGGGGTCCGGGGGCAAGATTTCTTTTTTAAATGTTGAAGTTAAAACCATCAATCTGGTGCACTCCGTCAGAACTGCACCCCTTTCACCCCTCGATTCTACCGGGTTTTGGTCCGGCCTCCTCCGGCGTCATACCCTACCGGGCGCGTAAGCGGAGCGTCTTGCCTGCCGGCTCGCAGTTTTTGTTGATTTGGGCATATTTCCTGGACAGGCTACTTTGTACAGACAAAGTTAATAATAACTGTAATATTCCAGTTATAAACGACATGAATCAAAGATGTGTTGCTGTATTTTAGTGGTAAAAAAATGCATTCATCATCATAATTATTCTATATATAATATAGTCTGGTGGAATAGCACCCATTGACTAGAGTGGCCGCGATCTTTGCGAACGCCGCGGCGCAGCCGTAACGCGACGCAGACGTAACGCGACGCAGACGTAACGCGACGCAGACGGACCCGGTGGAATCTAGGGGTTAGACGAGACATATACCACGTGATGACACGTTATGCTCGTGTTGTGTTCAAGGACCCTGACCGTGGCCAGGAAAAACAGGCACTCGCTTGTTTAATTTTTTTGCGGTCTAGATTTCTTTAATTTTTTTCTTTTTTGCGTGTGTTTATAAATTACCTCGAGGGCCGTACCAAATGGTCTCGCGGGCCGTATACACCCCTGATGTAAACGGTCTGCAAAGTCACAAACCCTCAAAGTACACCCTGTAGCGAGTAAAACTCTAACACAGAAAATACCTGTCTATGCTGCCCCAGAACGCCTAGTTGGAGATTTATCTTTTTCTTCCTGGGTACAGTGACGTGACCATACCCAAATGGACCCATTGGGTATTCGTGGAGCTCCTCACACACACACACTCTCTCAGCGGCGAAACTGTGACGCGCTGGGGGGGGGGGGGGGGGGGGGGGGGTGCTATAGGAGCCTCGCAGCGGTGAAACTGTGGCGCGCTTACACTGTAGGTGCGCCGCGTTTGGGGGGTGCGGGTGCTAGTGGAGCCTCGCAGATGGGGGTGCTGCAGCCCCCTCAGCATCCCCCCCTTCCCGCGTCCATTCGCGATGACTCGCTGTCTCGCAGACCCCAAGCAGCAAGCAGGAAATTAACCCAGCTCACACTGTCTGCTCCTCGAGCGGAGCAGCGAGCCATGTAATGTCCCGCCAACACGGCACCCAGACCCCACGCAGCATTCTCATCTGTTTGTCATTACTGGTGTCGTTTTCTGGTTGCTAACAAACGCCATTGTAACACATAATCACTGATGTCCCGCTGTAACGGTGGTGGACTCAGAACAGAGTGGGCGAGCTGACCAATGAGAGCACAGTGGGCTCATAGGGAGGGGGGGGCAGGAGCTCCAACAATCCGTGTAGGACAGAGAGTGAATACACATACTATACAGAGATGCTGTATGAGAAACCAATGTGAGTTTGAAAAATTGCACAATATAAATCTATTCTAGTAGACCTCAACAATGGAATTATGATCAGTAGAAATGGCCATGACATGGGACCTTTAATATATTATACTAGGCTGTTTTATGCATATTTTCGACAAACTATACTATATCGTTTTTTTTCCTTTTTCAACATGTGACAATGTCGTTTTTTTTTTCATATTTACGACATATGCAGTTTTTTTCGACATACTAATACTATGTCGTTTTTTCCCCTAAATATAGTATGTCATTTCTTGTGATATTTCCGACACACTATACTATGTCGTTTTTTTCCATTTTTGAACATACAAAAAAAACAGCCTAGTCGTTTCTTTTTTCATATTTACGACATAGTATGTCGTTTTTTTTTCTTCTTTTCTACATACTATACCAGTTGTTGTTTTCATATTTTCAGCATACTCTACTATTGTGGGAAAAGTACTTGGTGTGAACGCGCCTTATGTCGTTTTCTTTTACAAACTATAGTATGCCATTTCTTGTGATATTTCCGACACACTATACTATGTCGTTTTTTTTTTCATATTTTCAGCATACTATACCATGTTGTTTTTTCTGATTTCTTTAACATACTATACAATGTTGTTTTTTCTGATATGCCGTACCTGTAAAAACGTAAGCCGCTCCAGGAAGTCATTGACGTAGCTTCCCAGGGGTTTGAGGCTGGGGTACGACTTTTTCATCCACATGCCCGGGATACGACCTGTCAAAATGCTGCTGACCACCTCCTCCAGCTCTGAAGACATCACCACCAGCCCCTGCACGTCAATAAACACACATTTACTGCAGGAACAAACACATGATTAACTTTGTTGTGAAAATTCAACGTCAATCTGCTAATGACACATGAATAACTAATGAAGGTACAAAACATTGTCATGGGTGGTTTATTAATCTATTGTCTAAAGAAAGGTTTCAGGTGAAAATGACAGAGATCAAGACTAAAACAAGATACTGTATCAGACCATATAGATATATCTATAAACACACATAGTATCAAGGGTGGAACAAACAGGAATAGGCGAGCACATTTTCTTTTGTCTTCACATAGGGGTATCTCTTTCACAAACAGGAGAACTGAAACCTATGTCCCATATGGAAACAGGAAACAGTTTCACAGATAGGAGAAAACAAAAATGCAATTAGAAGTATTCATTCTGAAAATGTCCTGCAAGGCCATGGTGGAAGTTCACAACATTTAAAAAGAGCTGAGTTGTGTGAAATGAGAGTAAGTTTAATTAAATTGCTTTAACAAACTTGTGTAGTGATTGGAAATGTGGAGTTGTTCTACTGCTGCTCTAACACTGAATAGAATATGAGAGAAATGCACTTGTCACTTAAAACCCTCTCTGTTGAGATGGGTGACAGACAGCTTATTTAAAATCCTTATTTGCTCTGCAGGGGGCCTTTGATAAAGTGTGAAGGATGATGAGCTCCTTCCCCTTCCTGACTCTTTATGCACTTTCCACTTCATTCCCAAGAGACTGCTGCATCTCAGGAGGAGCGGAAATGTGTGTGGAGTTGTTTAATAAATGGTATAAAAAGACCATGCTCAAGCGTGTACTTTTACATTCTTTTAATGTGGTTTAATGAGGAGTGCAGTGCCAAACATATGCACATATGCTCAGATTATATTCTGTTTGGTCTTTAGTTCACAACACTATGAAGTGAATAATTGTACTCTTCTTAGTCTAATGAGGCATGGCATGTGCAATATCTCCAAACCTTTGGAAACACTAAGTCAGTCATTTTTTATTTGTATTTAATTGAAGTAGATATTTTCTCTTCTGCAAGTGGGTCTCAATAAAAACAATTGATTAAAAGTATATTAGTGGTTTAAAATAGCCTACTAATTGCTCTTTCAGCCTCAAACAATGTATTTGTTGGTTTTTTCTCTTTTCTATTATATCACATTAAACTAAATATATAAAACAAGCTATTTAAAGATTTTTTATTTTTTTATTTTTTTAACCTTTATTTAACCAGATAAAAAGCATTGAGATATAATCTCGTTTACAATGCTGACCTGGCCAAGAAGGCAGCAACGTTACACATGTTTACACATAACACAGATATATAAAATACAGAGAACACAACTAAGTAAAAAAAAAAAAAAAAAAAAGCAGTCACTATATTGTATACAACCGTAGACTTTAGGAAACTGGGATGGACATATTTTCCTATGTTCTGACACAAACGACCATCCAATAAAAGTAGAAAAATAATTGTGAGATTAGTCAATACTGTAAATAATTGTTATTTATAGCACTTATCATGAAATATTTAACTTGCTAATCATCAGCATGTGGATGTTAGCATTTAGCTTTTAGCACCAAGCACCGCTGCGCATAAGAACAGCCTCGATGAGACATTATTATTGCTGTAGATTACACTTTGCAGTGTGTGGACTCGCAAAAATAAGTGGTATGAGGACATAATATTAACAAAAATGGAGATCCTGTTTCCAGCAGCGAGGGCTCAGTTATTCTCTATGCTACAGAGGATAAGAGTACTTTCTGAGAGAAGGTTAAGAGCACCAGCTAATGATTTAAATATATTTAGGTGGCTGCTTCATTCCTGTCCTTCAAACAGGGTCAACAACATTTCTATCGTGTATCAATTTATAATAATTTATTTTATTTGTATCAGCTTTCCTACAGCTCAGTGCTTTATACCTTTACCTATTGCACAGTGTACCATCAGCAGTTATTAAATAGGAAATCGAGTAACATACTGCATATAGATTTTCAGGGGGAAGCAGTTATTCTACATAGTGGTTCATTTCCGCAAATCGCCCTAAACTTTCCCAATTACTGTCCGAGTGTTTCCTTGTAATAGAAAATGATGGTGTTAGATTAGTGCGTTTGGATTGTGCTGCTTACTGCCAACAGTATCTGTTTTCTGAGGATGTATTATCGGAGTTTCCCGTGTAATCATTCAGCAGAGGTGTGCTTCCTCTGATGAGATATTGCTTTCGCTGCACAGAAATGTGAAATCAATGATGATTCATCATTTGGCCGCGCTGTTTATCCAAAACAAACACATTTAATGTAATTACAGTGCGTTCGGCCATGCATCACGCTATGAGTATCCAAATTATAAGGATCCCTGAGAGTGGGCTCAAAAGTAAACGACTCCTTGCCCTTACTGCTCAAATGGATACATGTAATATATATATTTCTTTAAACCCGACCCCTCCCTGTGTACCTTTATGGCCTTCTGGATGTTGATGCTTGAGGCTCGGATGGCGCTGAGCAGGTTGTTGAAGCGGCCCATCTCCTGCGCCAGCACTGTGTTCATGCTCTGATTGTAGGTGGTGGGGAAGCGCCTCATCACAGCCTCCAAGTCGAAGTCTGCAGGCAGCTTGCTCAGGATGTCAGCTGCCACATCAAAGACCATGTCATCTGAGGATTTGGCGTCCCCGCCTGAAGAGCGGGACTGATCAGAGACACAGAGCGACAGAGGGACGGATGAGAATGGGAGGCAGGACTTTGACAGTTCCTCATCTTTCGAGAGGAAATTATCTTTTCGCCGTCTTTGACTTGTCACATTATGTATTCCATTTGACTGGCGTGGGTGCTATTTTGATCCAGGAGAAGACCATGATGTTAAGAGGTTCTGACTTCTGACTTGTGCTTATATTTCATCATCTGTGTGCCAGATTGATGTATATTCATGCTTTAAAATGGACACAAACTGACACAGAACCTCCTATTCATATGATTTCTCTTAAATTGACCTTCCTTCCTTTAATTTCTAGACGTTCTTCCGGCTAGCTTTTAGCTTAAACCACGGATGATGAGATCATAATACTTACTGCAATCCATCTGTGAACATACACACACTGAGCATCAGAAAATAGAAGGCTTCACAACATTTCGCCCCAATTTATCCCACACAGTCATTTGACGCAATCTTATCTAATAATCATTCATGCTGATAATTATTCACTCTAATCTGCGATTCTTCCGCTTTCCTCTCATTTCAACTTGCACCATTTACCTATCTGATGCTCAGTCACCAGGCAGCGGTAATGGATAATCATTGCCTAATGGCATCGAGGTTACAGTAGTGGAATGACAAATAGCTGTTTCATTCCATTTGAAGCATCTCCCTGTTTATCGGTCATTGAGACTGATGGGACCGTATTAGATGCTAATAAAGTCCACACATGACTGGAGCCATTATTAATCTTGTTGAAAGGAGTTTATATGAATGAATGCCAGACTCCATCGAGCTCTAATTTTAACTCAAAGTGGCAATGCCTATGGAAATAATTTTCTATTTGTTTGCCAGAAATGTACTGTACTTATTCTTGTTTTTTGACAGAACACTGTATATTATATTAGTATCTTACAGAGATTAGAATATATATGATGCCTTCAGAGTATGTGTGCATGTATGATCCTATTATATGTATCCACTTAAAGTTAATATCAAGTTATTTCCCACAGGGTTTGGGCATAGTGAAAAGTCTTTGCTAAGTGCTCTGTATCTTAAAATAAACAGATGGATCCATGGGTAAATAAAGATCCCTTCCCAGCTTTCAGAAGACACTGTACCTCTCTTGTCTTTAAGTAGGTCTCTGTGCAAAATCTCTCTTAGATTCATGTTGACTCAACAGAGCTGAGATTTAATGATGTGGGATCACACAGCTCCGGCAAAGCCATCTTTTTTTGTTCTTTGAGAATTCTCTTCAAACAACTGAAATATTTATATTTTTCTCTGTAATTAATGTTGCATAGTACATCCTAATGTAGGGCGATCAAATATTTAATGCTGGCAAGGACACTTATAGAAGACGGAGGGAACTCGAGGGAAGCATATTGATGTCATGTGCATTTATTTGAGACAGTATTTCAGTGTCTAGGTTTGTGTGTTTAATGGGGGTACTGCAGTCGAATTGTTTAGTGTGTATGTGTGTTGTGTATGTGTTGCCTACAATCTACCAGCTGAGTAGATTCATTCCAACTGAGCATCTGGGATGTTGTCCAAGAGGGGAGCATTGTTTTGCGGAAGCGACCCAGGGCTGCTGGCACTGAAGATCAGTTAACTTTTTTTTTCACCTGTACCCATGCCAGGCAACCGTGTTTTTATCATATCTGTTATTCTTTGCCCGGTTTTACGGTGTTCATAATCCACAAGATCAGTTAAAAGGTGTAGTAATGAATTAAGGATCATATTGCTTCGTGAAATGATGGCCCTCTGTTTTCATTTTTAAAACAAACAGTATTAAAAAGTAAATGTATAAGTAAACTTTAATGTGGACATGATAATTCTTTTATAGGCCTCTCTGTACTGGCATTGGTACCAGGAGTGTCTGGTTTTCCAGTATCAGTGTGTTTACTGTAAAATAATGCCAATGTCATTTACAAAAAGATGACACGTAATCAAAGAAGGGTCTATGTGTCCAGTGGCACATTGTTGTCATGTTGTGTTGCGTGATAGATAGTATAAAAATACTTGAAATGATCTGTTTTTAGACTGACTTGTTATACTGTAAGTATTCTGTCTCTTATACTGTTGTACAACAATACTCTTTACTTTAATAACCAGTGTGTCTGTGTTAGTCTATTGTGTTAAGTTCTTACCCAAGCTCTACATGGTGAAACGGCCCTGTGCTGACGTTGCCACTGTGTTTCTATGGAGAAAGAGTGGTCGCCCGACTAGGTGGAATCACCGCACCAAATTGTCACCAAGCACTACGCTCAAAGTTCAAATAATTTCAACTTTGACCTCTTTGCTGACCTTTCTGCGTACCGTTACTAACTTTTTTCATCGTAAGGCTCCGCGCCGCACCTAGCGGTGAGCAAGAGACAGTCGCGTATCATGTGAATGCAGCTTAACCCTAATGGATCACTAACAAAATATTTTTTTACAAGTTACAATGGCTCAAAAGAAAAACAAGTGATGGTACAACATCTTGATTTGATTGTGTGTGTGTTTGTGTTTCAGCACTTATACATGCTTGTTATTTAGTTCCTGACAAACAGGAAATCAATAGGATACTTGGTGTTTTCTCCGGGTGGATTTACCTGAGTGAGCAGGATGCTGTTGAATAGTAGCTGAGTCTCAACCTGATCCTTGGTGATATCCGCGTTGGCGTTCATGCCAAAAATCTCCGGTGACGGGTTGAGCGGCAGCGCCTTGGTGTACTCTAGGTAGCTGTTGTACTGCAACCCAATATGCAGGAAACAGAGGGAGCAGAGTGAAGTGCACATTTTTTTTAAAACATCTTGAGTAATAACAGTCATTGAAAAACAAGTCAGCTCCTAAGATTGCTGACATTTATTTTAATGACTATGTAAATGTGACTTCATGAATAAAAGATGTGGTTGCAGTGGGGGGGGGGGGGGGGGTGCAACACTGGAGAACAAAATGCCAAATAAAATGGAGAGCACCATAGATTGCACTTGTGTTAACAAATATATCAACCCTCGCTGATGGTGGTCGCCTGCTGTGCCTTGTTACACACATTTGATCTCCTAATGACTTTTTAAAGGTAGCTCAACGACGAAACTGAGTCCTGAAATATGTTTAGTTTATAAACAAACACATTAAAGGGAGTGGAACTTTTCTTGAGTTTTTAAGGCATTTTTTCTGTTAAGTGATGCATAAGTAGGGATGGGTATCGTTAAGGTTTTAACGGTACTACTACTTCCATCGATACCGCTTATCGATCCGGTCTTTTAACGGTACTGTTATCGGTTCTTTTGGAGAAAAAAATAAGGTAAACTAACTTAACAAATTGTGAACAAAACTAACATTGCTTTTTATTTAAATTAAATACATAATATTTCACATCAAAAGAAACAACAATGTTTTAACAAATCGTATTATATAATCTGATGACAGAACTGTAAACAGAATAGCTGAAACTTTAACTAAATAAATAACTCAGTTAGCTCTAATCATTAACCCATGTTTGTATAATTGAGTTAGCTCCGTGTGTTGCTGCTAGCATACATAACACCTGATGTGGAAACGTTACTCGTGGATGGGGCTACAGAGTTACTAGAAAGACAGTCGAACCCGGTGCATTTCTCCGTCTGAATGTGGTGCACTTTTGCTAAATGTTTCGACAAATTGCTCGTGTTACCGCCCTGACATGCTAAACTCTTATTGCACTTTTGGTAACGAGCATTGTCCTCATCGAGACGGGTAAAGTTTAACCACACCTCGGAGCGCGTTCTCTCCGCCATCTCCTCCGTGTGTGTGTGTGTGTTGCATGCATGTAGCAGCTGCGTGTGTGTAAACTGCCCCGCCCCCTCGCACACAGACAGGGGAAAGAGATCTCTCGTCTGGATTGGAAAGATCGAAAATACTAAACATAATCATAGACGCATTTTGCATATTAGAAACGGAGTTGGCGACACTAAAACTGCAATATAATGTTTGTGTAGCAATAATACATATGACATATTTTTTACATGTCTCCAGTACCGATAAAAAGACCGATAACGTCGGAGCTTAACGGTACCACGGTCTTTAATAATTCAGCCCCGGGGCCCGTTTAAAGGTGGGGTAGGTAATTTTGGAGAAACCAGCTTGAGTGCGCTAGAATTTGAAAATACACAGCCGGAAAAAATCTGCCACTTCCTTACAGAGCCCCTCCTCCAACACACACGAACGCGCACATGACCAATGAGGGCACGAGATAAGTTTGTGCCCCGATGGAAGGCTGACAGGCAGGTAGGCCATCCAGTTATTTTAGCCGGGCCGGCTAAAATGATTGGTTGTGCTTTTTACAGTATTACGGCTTCCACAGATGACATTTTTTTATGGATTTTTTGTCAAAGCACTTAAGATATTCATTGCTATCGGGATGTTAAGAGCATTCCATGGAATATAACAAAAAGTGTATCTCGAGCCGGTTTCTCAAACTTACCTACCCTACCTTTAATACCGGGGCTCGGTACCCATCCCTATGCATAAGGGGCCGTTTCATATAACTGAAGCAATACCACATTGTTGGAAGACATTTAAAGGTCCCATGACATGCTTTATTACCCGTCCCCTTGAGTGTTATGTAGCTTTTTCTGCATGTAAACGATCTGCAGAGTCACAAACCCTCAAAGTACACCCTGTAGCGAGTAAAACTCTAACACAGAAAATACCTGTCTATGCTGCCCCAGAACGCCTCGTTGGACATTTTTATTTTTCCATATTTTTCTTCCTGAGTATGGTGACGTGACCATACCCAGGTCCAAATGGACCAATCTGTGGAGCTCCTCACACACACACACACACACACACACACACACACACTCACTTAGCCTTATCTTTTCTCAGCCACGCTACTCCGCGGAGTTTCGCCGGCACACACCTCATCGTTTCTCAGCCTCGGATCCGTGGATCTCTACTCACAGTTCGCCACACTCACATGTGTGTGCTCAGGCTGAGTTCCTCGGAGTCTCGCTGTCTCGCAGACCCCACGCAGCAACCAGGAAACGACACCAGTAATACAGCTCACACTGTCCGCTCCTCGCAGCAGCGAGCCCCGCAACATCCCGCCAACACGGCACCCAGACCCCACGCAGCATTCTCATCTGTTTGTCATTACTGTTGTCATTTTCTGGTTGCTAACAAACGTCATTGTAACACATAATCACTGATGTTACGCTGTAACGGTGGTGGACTCATCAGAACAGAGTGGGCGAGCTGACCAATCAGAGCACAGTGGGCTCATGGGGGGGGGGGGGGGGGGGGGGGCAGGAGCTCCAACAAGGCGTGTAGGACAGAGAGTGAATACACATACTATTCAGAGATGCTGTATGAGAAACCAATGTGTTTTTGGAACATTGAACAATGTAAATCTATTCTAGTAGACCTCAACAATGGAATTATGATCAGTAGAAATGGCCATGACATGGGATATATATATATATATATAGGATTTTTGATATTTATATTTGAATAGCATGCTACCATATCTCAAAAGGTCAAAGTATTGTGAATAAAACAGTAACACAGTGATGCAGAGCACGTCTCCTACTGTATATAGCAGCACCAAGTGCAACATGGTAACACTATGTAGGAGTGTGTATATTAACATCATAGAGTTACTTTCTTGACAAATGATCAGATGTTCTGCCCTGCCCGCAAACAAAATATAAAGTCACTGACATAATACAAATAATCACTGAGATTAAAACAAATTATTTATATAAAATATCTTTGGGGGGGGGGCTTTTCTTTTCCTGTCCTGCAGTGTGTTATATAGGTTTGTGTGCATGTAAATTGTCTGTAAATGCAGTGACATCACTAACAAGCTTCTTTTGGCTAGCGCTCAAACACAATGTACATGACAGGCTAAGGGGCGGGACATCTCTAAGCAGTTGACCGATCACAACAGAGCCGGACAGCTAACCAATCAGAGCAGACTGGGCTCTTGTGTCAGACAGAGGGTGAAATAGGTGCGGCAGCACAGGCAGTATGAGAAAATAAAGATTTTCATTTTCAGTATGAACATGAAAATGAGCATAATCAGGCCCCTTTAAAGAGTTAACTCCCCCTTGTTGTGAATATGCACCCTGTTAATGTGGCTGTAAAATACTGTACTAATTTCCCCTGTAATAACATATGGCATTTCCTAATCTCTGTAAATCCCAGCCAATAACAAAGACACACTTTGTTATTGCTAAGACTGGTGTTTGCAATGATTTATAGCAATGTTGCACAATTTTCCGATTCTTACCTCCTCCTCAGCTGGTGCATAGTAGAGCCCGCTGGGATCAAACTTGTAGTCAGGGTCCGTGGCGACCTTTGAAGTGTAGAAGATAGAGAGGATGGTGCGCAGGGTCCTTCTGTCCCAGTCATCTGTCACACGGCCTCCGTAGTTACACTCGCCAGTCATGTAGCGGATGGCATCAAACGGCACTTCCTGCAGCAAAATGGAATCATGCATTTTAAACAGGAACCTAATAATAATCTCAAGTAAGGATTGCATGTTGAATGGGCAGTATTGACAAATGCATTATCTCAATTTATGTGTAATGTCAATGTTCTTCAGAAAAAGGAAACATGGCTGAAATGTACTTCACAAACTGGACTTGGAAGGGGAACTGACATAATAGGAGGTGAAGGGTGGGGGTTCCTGCCGGTGTGGCATTTCCTGGAAGAGGAATTCACTTCAAAATTCAGCCAGCGACACTTGGTTACAAGATGAAAATGTCACTTGCTCAAAAAAAAATACCCTCAGTAGTTTTTTCTGCTACTTTTTCTCAATTACAGCAGAGGATGTGGGGAATGGTGGAGGGTTGGAGTGCTTTCAGTTTGTGGGAAAATGTCAAGAGGGTTTTTGAATATGGCTGATGAAAGCTGATCCTTGAGTGAAGAGGAACGCATTTGTAAAAGACCAGATTTCTATTATAGGGTTATAGCTACAAGTTGAATATATACGTAGGAGTATAGTGTATGTGCATCTGCATGTGAGAGTCTGAGTTTGACTTTGTGCCAGAGACATATAATCAGTTTATTGGAGTATTTGTAAATTATGTATGACCCAACAATGCTGTGCACTAGCCTGCATCCTATACTGAAAAAAGGGAAATATGGGAAACATATGATAGTGTTTTTTTCAGACTGTATATGAGAAGTGGATGTAGCCATATGCAGCAGGGGGAAAGCAAAGACCGGCTGCTTAATTGTATTCATAGGATAGCAAGGTCATGACCCGCGCCTCTAAATTCATGATAACTGCGGTGTTTATTGGAAAGCTAATTATGGCTAGCAAGAAAAAGTATTAAAAAAATGTACTTACTGGAAAAAATGTACACCCAATTCTTAAACGTATAACCTAACACTAAACAATGAGAAACTCACTGTGATATCAACTTGTCAATAACATCATAGCCACACCATAATATACCCTGCATGATCGTCTATTTTTCTCTAAATGGCAATATAATTTAATGCTGTATTGGAGAAGACTTAAAACTAAAGATTGAGATCATAAACTCATTATGAAAATGCCTACTGAGGTAATTAAGTGGGAAGCAGTGTCATTTTCTCATAGACTTCTATAAAATGTACTACAGGGGACTACTTTTTGGCCATTATAAAGAATGCAGGCCCTACTGCATTGGCTTCACTTCTCAGACCTGAAGTTGCCCCCTTACTACTTCCACTGAGTTTCAGGAAACAAGACTATCAGTCAGTTAAGAAATATAAAAAAATGTGGGAAAGGACAGGAAAAATAACTACCTCGTACTGTTCAAGGAACATGTGTAGCTGCTGTACAGAGATCCGGAGGTCGGTTTCATTGAACTCGTACGGAATGTTCCAGCCTATAGGTCCAAACTTCCTCCTCTCCTGGGTCAGGGCGTGGAAGAAACACAGGCCGTACAGTAGTTTCTTGAACACAACCTGAGGGGTGGATGAGCATAAATGGAAGGTGTTGTCTTAGATCAATAATTAGATAGACAGTGGTGGTCGTTCTATATTTCAGCAGCTAAAACAAAGTGCCCAGTGGGGGTGATAACAGACACAAAGGAGCTTAGGACACCCACTGATGTAAGCATGATGGGTATGCACATCGAGCAAATTCACATGCACCCACACACTGACCGGCTTGCTGCTGCTGCCAAAGAACTCCGGGTCAGAGATGGGGTCCATTAAAAAGGAGCGTGCAATGTTGGCGCGGAGGCCCTTCGGAGCCTCATTGGTCATCTTCACCCCATTCTGGAGCACGGCCACGGGGAAGATGGGAGACGGGTAGCTCGTCAGCCAGAGCCTGAAGTCTGGGTGGGTGGTGTCTGGGATTAGCTCCTGCTCGCAGCAAAATGTAAAAATAAATCATTTATTGACAGATCAGAATCAGAATCAGAATCCCTTAGAATTAGTCCCACAGAGGGGACATTTACGTTGTTACAGCAGAAAAAGAGCCACAGGCAGCTTGATGTTACATATGTTACATATGTTACATGCATAAAAAAGTATTAAAGTAAAAAAAAAAGTTATGATGTATTAAAAAATATAATAAAAGAAATAAAAAAAGTTACACAATTTACAAAATACACATCCTGTAACAGTTCTTAGGAATTAGCAGCCAGGTATATATTGCACAGTTATTAACGGCATATATATATATTGCACATATAGCACATATAAAGATGTATTTGTACTGTAATACTCTGGGGTATAGAACGTGTGTGGGTGTGTTCTGACCTCACAAACTCTCTCCAGTGTTGACATCCATGAAGTGGCCAAGTGGCAGTTCTGAAGAACCACCCAGGTGCCCTCTTTAATGGCTGCCTCGATCATACGCATGGCAATAGGACCCTGGCCTTGGCCCAGGGAGAGGGAACTCAGCTTGTTCCCTGAAAAGCCCTGAGGGTAAAGAACAGCCGTACACACACAGTCATGTAGTTGCTTTCTGACCGGGAAAGAGCCAAAATCATTTTGTAGTGCTTTTAAGACCTGTGCGGGAGCCTGGGAAATCCAGAGGATTCAATTTCCCCATTTCATTTTGAGTTTGTACACACAGCAGGCTTCAAAGCTGCAGGATTTCCCAGGTGTCTCCTCATACCTTTTCATCTCCGAACTTTAGCAACGCAGCCATAGGGTCTGAGCCAGGAGAGAGGATGAAGATGAGGCAGGCGCAGCAGTGGCTATCAACGAAGGCTTTGGACAGGTTAAAGGGCGGTGCTTCGATGAACGGGCGACCCAAACTGTCGGAAACAAATTCCTGCACCATGGGAACAACCTGGGGGACAATGGAACAATGGACTGTTTACTAAATATATTTCCAGGACAATTGGAACATTTTCAAGATTATACTGTTGTTTGAAGAAATGTAGCTATGACTCAATGTATTAATAATATCAGACCATCTTTTGGAAAGCAGCTCACCTTGTCTGGCCTGAGACAACGGATTACCAGCATCCTCTGGAACTGGCTCAGCTTCTCCTGCCACTCATCAGGGAAGGGAGTCTGATGGGGGCTCTGCAGATATGCACAACACAAAACATTATTGAATCAAGGAGTTCCTTTATATTCCACCTTGGAGAGAAGATTGTGCACTAATTATGCTGCCTAAAACTATTCAATTCGCAACACTTTACTCTTATTTAAATAAATGTCTATTAATTAATTTTCTATTGCCGAATGAGGTTAAACAATAGTGATGGATCCTATTTACTTTTCCTTGCCTTAGGCGGAATGTGGCGACATTAACAACAAATGTATTCATTTACTGCTTTTGCAAACCGAACATATCCTACTGCTGCAGCATCGCATTTAAAGCATTGGCACCACAACATTTGACTTTTATTAGGAAGTAGTCACAGGAAATGCAAAGTGTGTCATTGATCCGGACAAGGGCCGCCATTGTTACAAGACCACAGTTATTTTGGGCTTCTCTGACAGCGGATCAGGTTGAAATATTGTAGGGAGTAATGTAAGAAGAGTCAGGAGCAGCCACAGTGAGCTGTAGCATGAAGAGCTGCAGGCGACAGGCTGATCACCTCCAACTTCTCAGCCAGGGAACCAACTACTTTCACTTTCACTGTTCGCAGACCCTATGCAGAATAAAATCAGATAAGGGTTGCTGACAGAATGATGGAAAAAGGCCAATTATTGCCCATCTTCTTTTTTAAACAACTATAGTCTGTTTAGCTCGTACCGGTATTCTGGGACTGTAGTATTAAAAATAAATTGGTTGTTTACTAAAGTAACAAGGTGTGAAATCTTAAGGATTGCCCTAAGGGACTGGCTTTAATCTGATCCAATACAGGTAAACTACAGGAAAAAATGATCACAAAGATGACTAAATTGCATCTCGTCATCATCAGGGGCTCTATTATACTTAAGGTGGTATTCCCTTCCTGTAGTGTGTTGTATAGGTTGTTGTGCGTGTAAATGGGAGTTTCTCACCTGCACACTCCCTGAAACACCTCCATTGGACTTCTTTGTTTACTTCCTTAACATAATGACATCACTATGTAACACTCATGCTTATATTGGCTAGCGCTTACACACTAGACGTGATATGCTAAAGAGCGGGACATCTCTAAACGGTTGACCAATCACAAAAGAGCTGGCTAGCTAACCAATCAGAGCAGACTGGGCTCTGGTTTCAGACAGAGGGTGAAAAGAGGTGCTGCAGCACAGGCAGTATGAGAAAATTAAAGAACTTTTTGAATATTTGAGCATGTAAACATGTGACAAAATATACAAATATGAACTTGCAAATGAGCACAACCCTTTAAATGCTTTGTCATTCATAAGGAAAGGATGCATGCCCCTAACAACGTTTCTTTAAAAAGAAACATGCAGCATAATGCCGTTTGGCCCAGTGAGGTTCTGGGGTGGGGCTGTATCGTTTCGAGTTGTTGCAAGATTAAGCAATGTAATTAAGCAAACAGCGGGGTAATCTGTAATGTGAATGGGTAGGAAAGTAATGAGGGGAGATAAATACATATGTATGAAAAAGCACAGACTGTGGAAGGAGAAGGAGGTGGGGAAACAGAAATGCCACTGGGTACTGGGTCAGAGCAATATGTTTGATTAATTTGTGGAACAAGTTTACGAGAGGAAGTGAGCAATGGCAGCGGGAACTTTGGGGGAATTATTCTCCCCAGGTATTTTGTCGAGAGACTTCTGGCTATGTGTGTTGGCAGGTGCATGGAGACGGATACACCTATTTAGAGTCTCGTGGGGATTCTCCGTGTGTACAGGGGTGTGTAAGTGTGTGTGAGTGGCTGTGTGCTTGATTGAACAGCTGTTGTTGCATCATGATTGAATATATGTGAATTCTACAACCGGAACAAACTAGATTTAATTGGATAGAAGGGTTGTGGCTGATTCTGTTGATTATAAATCAAAGATGGTGTGCATGTGAATGTGTCTTTGTGTTTGTGACAGCAAAAAGACAGGCACACATGTTTGTGAGTGCCGCACATTGATTAAACAGCTGTTGTTGAGTCGTGATTGCGTAGATGTGACTGGCACAATAGGAACAGAACATATTTAATTAGATAAAACTTCAATTTTTGATCCTTTATGATTCAAAGATGGAGAGAGGGTCGGATTTACATCATCCACACCTGACAGACAAATTAATTTCCTCCTACTTTCTTCCTTTCCTTTCCCAAAATAAACTAATGAAACTCAGTTATTGACGTAAAATGAAATAAGGAGTTAAAGTTTGGCGACATTTCTATCACTAAATTAGCAAATAGTTGAAGATGAAAGAATAGAATGTGAATTAAAATACAATTTAAGCATCTATTACAGAGATTATAACTAACAGTTCTAATCATTCTGAAGCAAACTAAATCAATGTAAGACCTGTCTGAGAGCTATGAAAAATGAGGCACAAAAAGTAGGCAGAAGTAGAAGAACTCCTTGAGAAAACTATTTCAAGGATCTTTATGCAGTATCAAATTATGAAATGTGTGTCATTGATATAACTTCACACAAAAGCCAAATCACATGAAAGAATTCATAATATAATCCAGTGGTGTATATTATGGACCATTCTGCAAGATGATTACTTTTTATTTTGGTGCTTAAAGATATGTTGATGCTGGTTCTTTTACTTAAACAATATTTTGGATAGAAATATTTACGCAATTTGTTATTACTACTTATTCTAAAGTAAAATATATAGATAAAACATTCTTCATACTATAACTTTATAATTGTATGTACATGCTGTATTTAAAAAAACAAAAAGTTAAAGTTACCTTAAAAAACACCAAAATGAAACAGATATTTAAAAATGTGAGCAAAATGACATAAACTACGTGAACTGTCTATATTTAAACTTACTTGGTTCGCAGTAATCTGATAAGGCACAACATTTGGTGCAAAAATAGTAATTCAAACTTCAAGCTTAGTAAACCAAAGCCGAACGCAACACATAAGGCACTGAAGCTGCTGCTAACTGAAGTTTTGTCTAATATTGTGTGTGTTTCAGGCCTTAGTATCCACACAAGGTGTGTGTTGCCTAAATCAAAGGTATAAACCTTAAATATCTTTAACATTTGCTCTAGAGATGTTAATACAGAGGCACCTCCAGAATCTACATGTTATGGTAGTTCTAACATGTTGCTTACTTGAGCAAATGGCCCATTGCTCTGTATGAATGATGACTTGACGAACGCAAAGCGCTATGAGGGGTCGTAAAAGACTGGATAAAGGGCTATGTAAATATAGGCCATTTGAATGTGAGACAGTTTAAACAGCTACACTTTCCAAACATCTCATCCCAAACTCATTTTAAGCTGACATTTAACACATTTAGAGATTCTACAACAAGACTCTAGCAGCCATATTCATGTGCATTGATACAAATGGTGAATTAACAGTATAGTGCTTTATCCAGTCTTTACAACCCGTCAAAACGCTTTACATACTACAAGTAATTCACCCATTCACACCTCATTCATACAGAGCGTGCCACTTTTCTTTGCTCGAGAAATGTAACAATCAAAACGACACATTCACACACCGTTGGCCATGCCATCAGGAGCAACCAGGGGTTAAGTATCTTGCCCAAGGACACATCGACATGTTGACTGCAGGGGCTGGGATTAAACTCACAACCTTACGATTGAAAGACAGCTGCACTCCCTCGCAGCCATAGTAGCCCAACATTTTCATTTTGAGAGAATGTGCATACTTTTCTCTCCTCCGTGTTCTATTGGGTAATATAGATTATAAAATGTATTTTTTGGACAGGCCTATTTTAAAATGTGATCCCCATTTTTCTGCCATCAGGCATTCAATCAAACAATACATTTTAGAGAGAGGTAGGACAGAAATACAAACTTTTCCCAGTTTGTATTAACATCACAGAAACATTATAGGACACCCAGAGATAGATCCCCAGAGAATCCTGTGTGTTTCATGTCACTCACTGAGCTGTCGTACACTGTCTTCCACTCGCCCCTGAGGCGAGCCATGTCTTTACGCAGACCTTTGAAGCACTCCATCTCATCCAGGCGGCAAAGCTCGTCCCAGGACTTTTTAGGGAGCCAGGTGCAGGGATTGGAGTAGGGGTTGTCGAGACCCACACCACCTGTGAGGAGGAAGCGCCACTCCCCCTCATCCACCTAACACATTAATTACAGTCATGCTTCTGTTAGAGGATTAACCAGCATTTGTGATTTAAACGGTTTAAAGATTCAACATTTGGGGTATTATCTTGGATAAAAATACTATACACATTTTAAAAACAAGAAACAGATCATCCAAATGAATCATGGAGGATTTATTTTGAAATATGTAATATATAACGGATAGTTTGATAAGCTAACCACAAATCAAACTACACTATTGAAAGTGTTAATGTCTTAAATGTCTATGTCTTTTAAGTGTTGTTAATTTGTACATGTGTGCAGTTTGTGTATTCCATACCTCCTTTCTATGCATGAGCAGATTGACACTGAGGCAGAAAGAGAAGAGCAGCTTGTCCTTCTCAAACAGAGAGCGACACACATTGACGTATAGCGCGTATGTAAAGTAGTCTCTCAGGATCTGCAGTCTGTAGAGAGTACAAGTGTATTAATAATTGTGTTCCAAACCAAACAGACTTGTGAACTATTGACCCTACGCTAAGCCCCTCTCTACCGGCCAATGTCCAATCCTACGTTAGCAACAGGGCGCAGGAGGCCTTTCAAGTTTTTCATATGGTCAGACAGAAGATATCTTCAACATTTAGGGGGGAATCTTACATTATTTTGCTTTTTTAAAAGCAAGAACGCAAGATAAGAGATGTCTGATACTGTGTGGAAGACCTCAGGCACAGCTAAATCCATCAAAGACTATAAGACAATGCCACCGTATAGCTCAGTTGATAGAGCTGCCGGCCCATGTACTGGGGCTTGGTCCCAATGCGGAGGACCCGGGTTCGAAATCCTGGGACAATTTACCACCCTTTCAACACTGTCACTTAAATAAAGGCACTGGTTGCCCAAACATTTTTTTCCTTTGTTTGCACCAAGGTGAAACACTAATAACTTTAGCTTGCTACGCACAAAAGCAGATTTTAATTATTCATAATTAATAAGATCTAGTTAAGGTTCAAGCCCATGATGTGCGAGCAATATCCAGGCATGCTATTAACAATCGGAAAAGCGGGAGAACTTGTTGTTCTCAATAATGGACTTCTTCCTGTTGTGCCTGTATTTATCCTTAGGGTTGAGTTGTTAAGATGTGGGTTGTCTGGTGGGCTTTGCCTGAAGGTTTGAAGGTCCTCTATTCCAGGGGTTCCCAACCTTTATTGTGCCAAGGACCGGCAGATACATTAAAAAACAATCGCGGACCGGTTGTCAATTTTAACTGATTTTAATATTTACTCACCACCAGCAGGTAGCAACAGAGGCTAATTGTATGTAACAGCCTGAACAAATACTAGAACAATATGCATCCAAAACATATTAACAAAGTTTAAAAAAGAACCGGTGTCGTTTTTTGGTTTTTCGGAAAACCAAAAAACCGACGTTATTCAGTTTTTAAACCAAAACGGGAAAACAGATAAATCAACGTTTTGGTTTTGTTTGTATGATTTACGGATAATCCAGTGAATGCTGGGAAAACGAGGAGAAGCCGCATTATGAACACTGGCATTTGTTTTCAGAAGATATTATGATCGTGTCGTTCGTTCCGGTGCACTCCGACAGCATTTAGCACTACATCGAGATTAAGATTAAACTAATTTATTTTGGGAACAGCTGCATATATGGGGTTAGCCATATGTGTGTAAATTACTGTTCATAAACATTTGAAAACAAATGTCGGACAGACACAAACACACCGAACACACAGAGCTGAGCTGAGCAGAGCACATACACACACACATCATGCGCCTTGGTGACTGACTGGACATCTCCTTCATAAAACTAATAAAAGGGGGAGTAATCGGGCAGTTCGATGTGTGTAGAGATGTGTGTCGAGGTGTGTGTGGTTAACACGTAGCAGCCTGCAGTCACTCTTAAGCTGTTCTGATGAAGTTAAACACAGCGAAGGCGGTGCGTAAAAAGGCACAGCTCTTTACCCGCTGGTGCTGCACTTCTCAGAGGCGGAGTATACGTCCCGCTGCCTCCTGATGCTGCAGCCATTTCATGAAGTGAAGGAGGGTTTCCTTCTATAAAACAGCTGCGGGCAGCAGATACCGTGAGAGTCCCGGACATTAATTCATAGATTAAGGCAGACTGGTTTACTCTCCTGTTTTGCCAATCCGGTGCTTAAACAAATAGCTCTACACCCCTGGCCGACATGTCCTTAAAATGAAGTCCGAGTTTGAAATATATCTCAAATAATGTATGCACCACCATTTCCCCACATAAACATAACAGTCTGCAATCAAACGGTTGTCTCCTGTGCGCTCCTCTTCCTACTTGGCGCACCGGTAACATTCTCGTGCGCACAAGAGGCTGAGACCTTAGGCTGAGCCGCCGAATCCCTCGGAACATCATAAAAGCCATTTTCAACGGTTTTCTGGTGAAAGATTAACTAGCTACTGGATGAAATAATATGACTGGTGGCACAGGTGCGAAAATTAAACACTTTTTGAAAAAAATATTATGATAAAATATTTTTATATATTTATAATTCTGTAAATATTACGATAAACTCACAGCTATTTCGCGGCCCGGCAGTAACACCGGGGGTTGGGAACCCCTGCTCTATTCCACTTCATATGCATATTCTCATATTTCATTCTGTCTACTTCTCTTTGATATTTCAGGACTATTATTACACAAATGATTTTCCTATTTGGAATGTCTCTCACTGATATTGTTAAAAAAAGCCACATTGACAGGAGGCCTAACGACAAGAGAGGAGGGGCTTAGCAAAGAGTCAATACCTAGTCTTACATTCCTTTTTTGTAAGTTGACAAGTAAAATAAGGCATTTCGAGTGAAAAGGGAGCTTTTTGTGGGAACATGTGCTTTGCCAGTGCATTTGTCAGCCCTGCCTACCTCTGCACCAAGTCTTCACTCTTCTCTGAGTTGTCGATGGAGCTGATGAAGAGGTTAATGAACCAGGTGAGGGAGTACTGGTACATGGGCTCGATGTTCGCAAGGTCAGCGATGGAGAAGAACAAGATGGCTGAATGCATGGCGATGGGGGTGTAGCCCATGCGAGTCTCGTCGATCTTCTGCTCCGTCACCTCGGCCACAGCTTGCTTCTCTGAGATCTCATTGGCCAGCACTTTCGAGCAGGAGAGGATCTTGACGGCCGTCTCGTCCTCCAGGATGTTGCCCTCGGAAGAGGAGAGCACCTCTAAGATTTTGTCCTCGATCTCCTTTAGTTGTCTGGAGGACAATTCAACATGTGTTTGTAGAGGGAGACATTTTGATTTGACTTATGGAAATCATTTGACCTGAGTCTGGAGTGTGCTACAGTACCTTTTGTTCTCTGCTCCCTGCAGGATAAGAGCCTGTTTCTCTTCCTCCAAGTCAGGCCTTTCCCGAGCCACCACGATACCAAGCAGCTGGTCTTGGATGCCTTCAGGGGTGATCATGAAGTTTAGAAGGGTGACCTAAAGTACAGAGGTCGAAAGAAAGAGCAGTTTTCAGTTTGAAAGCTATTTTAGATTTAGACTAGAGACCATAAGTGTCAAACTAAAGGTTTATTTACATTTTTAAGGATGTATGTGCCGATGATTGCTTGCCAGTAGGCTAGGATTCAGGAGACATGTACTCCATTATCAAGACTTTATCCATTTTTTTTAATTAAATGTTGCATCCAATTATCGACTTGACTAAATGTTAGCCTACTTGTAAAATGTAATAATAATGCATTATTGTGCTTGGCTGCATGGTATGATGGCTGAGCACAATTTTAATGTAATGACTTTTTAGGGTTTTATGTGGACCAATGACAATATGGCTAATGTGACATGCAACAATATAATCGAAGGTTGATTTTATATATTTTTGTAAATATTTTTAAATGAAATGAAATCACTTCAAGTAACCATGTCAGGTCATGTATGTATAAATGGCCATATACTCATTCCCTTGCGTGGTCCTAGTGAAATTGAGTTTGATACACCAGACATTTGTATCCTTTACAGTTTCAGTCATGTTTGAGTTTACAAAGAGTCGTTACATTTTTGTTTACCTTTAGTCACAAAATGTTCTCTCTAAATCGGCTTTTTTATTTAGACAAATGTCATTTATTTGTCATCAGATTATTTTTCTAGCCGAAACCAAAAATATTTCATTTATTTGACAAAAGATTTGTATCTAAACATTATGTGATGAGAGTTTGATGATTAAAAATGCAGCTTTGTTCTTGACAATGCCCATTAGTGATGTGTGGCATGGGTCAGTTGCACTCATCCGGGCGAAAGAACAAAATTAGGCATAAAAATCATCTTATTCATGAAAAGAAAATAATCATCGATTTTTTGGTGAAATGAACACTGATACAGTACATTGCTATACATTTCAGTATGCAGAAGAAAACATGCTCAAATTAGGGTGTGTGTGTGAGTGTGTGAGAGTGTGTTTCAGTGTGGACATGTATGTGTAGGGTACTTTCAAGTGCAGCGTTGATCATCATGGCTTCAGTGCTGCACCCCCTACGAACCTCCTCTCCAATCAATTCCAATAACCGCTCCATCCTTGGCAAAGCACAGGTAAGATGCTTTTTTCTTTTACTGTGAAAACTGTGGAAGGGTGTCTTTTAGCGCCCAGCCTTAGTCATTCTGCTGTGCACTTACCCGGAGGTTAAAAGCCCATACCTGCTATCTACTCTCTGCCCTAATAAACGAGTGCACTTCTCCGGGGCCTAATTCAATTTCTATTGATGCTGCAGACCCACTCAGCTGGTGGTAAAGACTTGGAGCGCACATACATCTCCCGTCTGTCCTTTTCACACATGCACCCTCCTTCCTCACTCCCCTATGTCCCCTGAGCTCCTTAAGGGCTGCTCTACCAGAAGCTTGCCTTCTTGTATTTGAAAGTATTGCATTTCAAACAGGGCTTAATGGATTTAATGGAAGCCCCACTGTACTGTAGGCAAAAAAGGGAAAAAAAGAAGGATTGAGTCAGTTTTGAAAAATGAGTTGAATCTATCTAATAGCTGCCCATAAAGAGTGGGGCCCTGCAAATAGATGCTTGAAATGTGATCTTCTAAAGCTTTCCAACCCCTCTCTGTAATGCAGTTTCCTTAAATGCTCCTTTTCTTGGAAATGTTCTCTTTTTTCTGGGACACTGTGCTCCATTGGGGAGGTGGTATCGGTGATGATTCGCTGTGTTGCTGGGGTAAAAAAGTATGATGCAATAAGAGGGAACCAACCGTAAAAAAGGAGGGATCATCTTTCTGGAGGAACAGAGGTACTTAAATAATAATTTTGTAGAATTTGCTGATGAATTCATACAAACTAAGAGTTCACAGCCAGACATGCTAATTCATACTTATTTGCATCACTTTAAATACCTCAGTTTAGTGTGTTAGTATGCTAACCATTGCTAAAAAGCACTAAACATAAAGTCAAGCAGAGTGGACAGTAATGTTTTTCAGGTTTTTGTTCAACAAAATAAATGTGTTTGGAAAATTGAAAATTCTGTCACTTGAAAAACAATGATTGCGATTTACACTTCGGCGGGCGTGCATGTTTGTCGCAAATGTCATGGCAATCCTCTAATAGTCAAGGGGATACATTGTCTGGGTACCATGAAGTTCTGGACAACATCATCTCCATCTGGTAGATATTAATTTCACTGAAAATGTTTAACTTTGAACTGTTGATGGCACCAAAGAAAGATCAGAGGATCACCAAAATCACAAGAGTTCATCCTCTGGAGACCATTAACGTCCGTACAAAATGTATGCAATTCATCAAGCCCATACTTCCATCTATAGAGTGACTAAAACCTCAACCAAAACTGAAGAAAGCCACACGATTTAAGAGGAAAGACAATAGCATTAATAACCTCTCCCTCACAAAAACAATTAAGGTTGCAGTTAAACAGTAAACACAGTGCCCCACAAAGGACCTTTTTCTTCAATGGAAAAAACCATGTTACTGAAAGTCAGTTATACCATCCGGCTTAATAACAAAACAAATGAAAGTTGTTGTTATCAGGTGTAAAGGAAATGCTACTTTAAAGGTGGAGGAATGCAGATGTCTGTTGAGTCCTGTGAGAGACTGTATTCTACTAACGCATTCTATTAACTTGTGAGTTGGCAGAAGCTTTGTTGTAGAAAATACGTCTATCCTTAGCTGCGGTGGGACAGAAGGGTACCAGCTCCATCTGCATGGAAGGGGTGGGTAGTGGGGACATGGAATATTGCACAGGGCTCATTGTATCAACACTGACACCTGCTGCAAACAGCTGAGGCATGTGGCTCCTGCCAGAAACTGCTCTGATTACTGGCAGGAATAAAGGTGTGTACAGGCACTTCGGTCTGACTGTCTGTCTGAGTGTGTTTCCTTGTGTGGTGCGCCTTTTCCTTGACATTTTAGGTTTAATGGCTCTTTAAGTGGGGGACTTATTTGAGAGTATTGCGTATAATCCCTTAAAATGTTTCCTTAATTAAGGAAAGACGTTTTGCGAGAGAGATTTAACGGCGTTAAAACTCTAATTTCCATAGAGACCTTTTGTTTGCCTGCAAAGGCTTGGGATAGACAACCTGTTATTGTCTAAAAAGGTTTGCCTATAGATAATACAAAAATGGCAGAAAAAAAGGGGAGAGGGTCAGAGGAGGAAAATATGAAATCTTTGATGGAATACAATAATTCTACTGTAATTTTGATCCGAAAGTAGCCTTGATAAAATAAGTTTCTTCAAGCGAGTCAAAGTGTGTATTGGGATACACTGCCTGAGGGTGTTTCCAACTACAGTACCTTGACGGAGGTTTCTGGCAGGTAGTGTGGGTTGCGTAGCTTGGTGGTGATGTAAAAGCGGAAGTTTGGAGCGTATTCGATGGTGGAGTCTCCCAGGCGGATACACATGGCCCCGCCCTGTTTGAAGGTCTGTCTCAGCAGCAGAGGCTCCAGGATGGGGTCCAGCTCCTCGCCTACATTCTCCAGCAGCACTGAGGGAAAAGGTTAAATATTTTATCAAAGTTTTCTGATCAGGGGAGGCTTAAACTTGTCAGTGTTTTGCTTCATACAAGCAATCTCAAAGGGAAGCTATCTTCAGGTGACGTCACTGTAGAAATGAGAGGAAAAGCTATCATAACAAAGAACAAAAAGCCTGTTTGTTGAAGCAGAACGGCCGGGTGGACACAACATGTTATGCCAGCGAGTGTGTGACTTGTATCGTCCTCCTCCGTCAATATACAGCTGTCAGATAGAGTGGTGACAAGCTTATTCAGACAAAGTATGAGAGTTCTCTTCAGGAAGAATAAAAAAGCATTGTGGACACGGGTCCTCATCTTTCAACTGTTGATTTGTTTGTATTGACTGTTTATTGTAATGTTTATTTTATATTATTATCATGTTAACTCTTATGCAATGCGTTGTTAACATGCTGCTGTAACAAAGAATTTCCCAATTTGGGATCAATAAACTATATCTATTTGAATCTTGTCTAATCTACAGGTCACCTGTCAAAGACTTACATTTAGCACCAGGTCAGCCAATGATGTATCAATACAGGACTTTTCCCAAAAGCTACTTTATAATTACTTATTTTGTGTCTTTTGCATGTCTCAATCTTCCTGTTTCTTGGAAGCCCTCAACCATTACATTTGTGCACCACATGCATAATAAGTAATCAGTGAAGCAAGTAAGACATTGCCAGTTATAAATGCCTTATCCCCATGACATCATCATTAATGTATTTTCACATTAAGTATGATAATTCTGTTCTCATGTTAGGAACATTAGCCCATCTATAATTGATTTTATGCCCAAGGTAATAACAACGTTTTTATACAGAATTCAGAGACGGTGACAGCTGAAACTTTCTCTCCAAACTTTCGAAATTTCTCCAAATCGTTTCGGGCACCATTTTGTCCTGTTACATTTCATCAATATTGTTAATATTTCAGCAGCTTCATCAGTACTTTCTAGCATTTAATAAGCAGGAGTCGAGCCTATTAAGATATTTGGCGGGGAAACATTTGTTCAACAGTCCTAAAATAGAGATTTCTAGCAACGAATCAGGGAAATACTGTAGGCTGCAATACAAACAGCAAGAAACCATGGAACTGTGAAGTAAGAGAGCGTGGATCTGTAGCCTCGGGGGACTATTTTGCTCCCTGCAAGGACCAACGACTCTCTGAACTGTTAGCCTTGCATTCTGACAGTAAGCAAAGACCCAGTGGCTGGTGAGTTCGGTCATTATTTAGATGTCTTTTTAATGGCTGTATAGCTGTCTCTGTCAGTTCCATTCTCCCTTGCTGTTCCTTCTCAAACCCCCTACAAATCCTAGAGACACAACAAATGAACAGACACCGGAAGAAACAGAAAAAAAGATAGTTGCTTCTGCACAAACATGTGACTGACCCTGATACTTGGGGGGGGAAATGTTATTGCAGACATGTATTGCCCCTGCACTTGTGTATGATTTACAGTAGTTCATTATAATAATGGTGCAGGAGGCCTGGATAAAAGTTCATTGGAACATTTCACTCAGAAATACAGCTTATATGAATTCTCCTCTGCAGAATAGAGAACAAAGAAAAACAATCTTCTACAGCAATAAAAAGTCCCTGTGGTAAAGGGAGACCTCAGCAGGCGGAAGCAGGAACTACACACACACACACACACACACACACACACACACACACACACACACACACACACACACACACACACACACACACACACACACACACACACACACACACACACACACACACACACACACACACACACACACACACCACACACACACACACACACACACACACACACACACACACACACACACACACACACACACACACACACACACACACACACACACACACACACACACACACACACACACACACACACACACACACACACACACACACACACACACACACACACACACACACACACACACACACACACACACACACACGGCAGCAAGAGCAGAGTCATCAAGCCAGACAGACTTACCTGGGTTGCCAAACTGGATGCAGTTCTCCAGAGTGCGTACAAAGTCACCGTCACTCAGTTTAATGATATGCAGACTGTTGGCCTTCTCCATATTTTTCACCCACTTGTTTGCCTGGCCCTGGGGATCAATCATCAGGGGCCACCGCCTGGCGTTTCTACACAGAAACACAATAAAACAGTCGATGATCGTATGGTGCTGCCTTGTCAGAGTGAGAGATCATGTAACTGTTAACCAGGAGACATCAAAACAGCAGGGGGGATGTAGGAGGACAAGAATTGAGATGTAGAGAGGCACAGTCAGACAGCTCACAGTTGGGTGGCACACCAGGGGCCATAGTATTGTGATTAAAAAACAATGTTGCCGCTTCATTTACACAAACAAGCAGATGCTTTGTACATTTTATATTCATTTTTTGACTGCAGCTTAAGGTTAAATCAGACAATCTTACTGCAAAGTTGTGACATACAGTGGTGTCTGTAAGGGCAGAAGGATGTAGTTCTGAATTTAATCTTGAGATTTAAATAAATTGTGAGCCCTTGTGATCGAGGTAGTTAAAAATAAACATTTGGTGGCCACCATATAGCTCAGTTGGTAGAGCTTGCGACCCATACTGTATACTGGGGCTAGGAGGACCCTGGTTCAAATCTAGCCTAGGACTATTTACTGTGTGTCCTTCCCCTCTGTCTCCCCCTTTGAACACTGTCACTTGAATAAAGGCACTGGTTTCAAACACACACTGGAACATATTTATTATGCACAGTGAGTGAGTGAGTGAGTGAAAAATAAATGCCAAAAATAAATAGAAACCAGAAGTTTCCATAAAGATAGTTACGCTCAGAGTAAGCAGAGACCTTGGGTTTTGAACATTAAATCATTGCTTTACCAGCTGCAAATTCAGAGGTACCATGCCTCTGAAATGCTTTTATGCTTCTATGAAAAGTGCATTTGAAAGCCAGTTTTCTGTTTGTGTTCATGTCATTATGTATTTTTAGACGCTGGCTGGATCTTGTCCAGACCTTTCTGTCATTTCGATTCAAGCACTAGTTTATTTCGCACTGTAATGTGAAGCTTTATTGTGAAGTCAAAATACACATTGTGCATCAACAATGGCTGTCGGTTGCTCAATATCAAATGAATCGGATCAGGTGCCGATGCCTCCGTAGCTGGTGCGTTAAACTCTTAAACTCTGAAGTAAACATTGATGCATTTTTCTTCTAGAGAGAATGCCATGTCAGAATAAAGTTTGTCTTTGATACTCACGAGATCATGATCCCGTTGTCTATGGAGAAGCTGTCTGATGGGAGGCCAGCGATGGTCCAGGCTCTGATCTTTACTGGATCGCCCAGAGAGTTCATCAGGGACATGTTGGGGGAGCAGGGGATCTCTCTGCTCTTGCATAGATCCATCCACTCCTCCGTTTGATCCTGCAGAGGAGCACATTTACTGGTTATGACTTCATTTTCACTTTACTACCTGGGCAGCATGAAATAACCTACAAGCAAATGAAAGCATCTGCTTGCGAACAATTCTGTGCACATAAATGATTTCTTGTTCACTCTCCTCCTTTTTGTCTCCAGCTTTAAAAAAGACGACCTTTAAACACTTTCTTGGTATTGAAAAAGAAATGTTCCTTTCAGAGGGATCACTTCCCTCCAAACTGCTTTTGGATTGAATTGGTCAAAGTTGTAATGAGTGTTTTAAAAGACAGAAAAGACTGGATTTTCCTAAGAAACAATGTATAGATTCAAATAAGAGTGATTCTTCTCAATCATCACTTACGACCCACTAAAAGTGGTAGTGTTCTGTATCTGCAGACACCAACACATTTTCCTCTCATTTACCTTGCATTCCCTACATGTTTCCAAACAACATGTTGGGTGGCACACCAGGGGCCATAGTATTGTGATTAAAAAGCAATGTTGCTGCTTCATTTACACAAACAAGCAGATGCTTTGTGAATTCTTTTTTTTAATTTTTACTGCAGCTTAAGGTTAAATCAGATCATTTGACTGCAAAGTTGTGACATACAGTGGTGTCTTTTTTTTTTATCTGTTCCCTTTTTTTTTTTAAAGGGCAGAAGGATTTGTAGTTGTGAATTTAATCTTGAGATTTAAATACAGTGAGAGTCATTGTGATCGAGGTAGTTAAAAATGAACCATTGGGGGCAACCATATAGCTCAGTTGGTAGAGCTTGCGACCCATACACTGGTGCTAGGAGGACCCTGGTTCAAATCTGGCCTAGGACCATTTACTGTGTGTCTTCCCCTCTGTTTCCCCCTTTCACAACTGTATCCACTGTGTTCTGTATCTGCAGACACCAACTCATTTACCTTGCTTTCCCTACATATATCTAACTTTTCTTACATTTGAGAAATGTGTGTAAAACAACATGTTATAGGGAACTGTTAACAATATGGTTATATGTAAACCAACAAACTAAATTAAAATGTTAAATCTAAATATAAAAGTTAAATCTATTACAAATCTATGTAGGTGCAGATCTATAAGTAATACGAGTAGTACCCACTGACAGCCCAGTTCCTAGTATGCCCCCCCGGCTCCCTGAGCTCACCTGTCTGTAGCTGGAGGTGAAGGCTCCCAGGTAAGCCACGATGCCCGCTGAGATCAGGATGTCCCCGGTCAGGTTGTTGTAGAGCTCTCCGAGATTGAAGGCCATTTCGCTCCAGCGTGACTTCTCTCCACCCAGGCCTCCAATAAGCTGCTCCGCTCGCTCCAGCTTCTTACTGCACAGATCCACCTGCAGGACATCATGGAAGGTGGAGGAAATCAGTGGCCTATATGGGTTATGAGTCATTCTTTTGCCTGGCTGTTCTGTCAGTGGTACATTCTCCTCTCAGATTTAGTCGTCTTTCATTTGGCACTGTAGTTACACTTTTACTCTTTTTTCATTACATAGCAAGATATGTTTACCAATTTAACACATTGTTAAACCATGTACAATGAAATTAAGAGATGTGAAAAACACTAAACCTGATTCTCCAGTTCAACTTTCTTGTTCTTGTTAGCTTCGAACGTCTCCTGAAGTTTTGCGAGTTTATCCTGGACTTCTTTGAGGGCAGCCTGTTTTTTTTGGAGGCCTGTCATGGCCACAAGCAGCTCCCCCTCAGCCTGCGCCAGCTTCTCCTTCTTGGGAGCCACCGTCTTGGCCACCCTGAAGGATGATGCAGTAAGTAATCATTTACAAGAGATTCTAGATATATAGATATATATTTATAACCAGAAGGTCGTCAGTCAGACCAAGTACAGTGAGTGTGAACACGCCTAAACATGGCAGCCCCCTGGCTCTAACACCCCTCCATTAATGCAATTGTATAGGTCATATTAGTGCACATGTGTGTATTTTGCGCCTAAGTGTGTAATCAATATAGTGTGTCTTCTTTTTCAAATGAAACATTGCATTTTGTTAGCCTACATTGGGTTTAAATGAATACCTTTAGCTGCAAGAGTTCATGTAAACTAAACACATCACCCCAATTATGCACTAAAAAGAATACACATCAAAATCGTTCTTTTATTTTATAAAGCGCTAAATGGTTTGGTACCACAATACTAACTGACATGCTGCTCTGTTACGAGCCACCCAGAGCTGTGAGATCATCAGGGACAGGTCTACCCAATGGAGCTTTAAGCTTTTATGCTCTGCAGATCTGGAACAAACTTGCAGAACATCTGAGGTCTGCTGAACCCCGAGGTGAAAAATCTTTCTTTTTACTGCTGCTTTTTCAGAAGTCATCAAACTATGTTTTATCATTCCACTCCTGCACTTCTTGAAGCATTATCCATATTTACAATGTCTATTTTTAACTACTTCTTGTCCAATTTTTTATTTTTTTTTAATGATTACGTGTTAATGTCTATGTAAAGCACTTTGAATTGTCTTTGCATTTGAAATGTGCTAACAATTGTGGATAGTATTTACTTTGTCGGAACAATAATGATGTGAACATCTCCTTTTAAATGATCTGCATCTTGATTTGGCTTGTCATATTTATCACTTTGCAAATCATTTGTATACTTGCTCAGGATTAAAAATGGTTATTCCTGTGTAATTAAATATAACCAAGCTTCATTTACTTGCTTAGACGGATGGTAAGCTCTCTAAAGCTGGGGGAGTGTGCATACATTTTCATAACTGGGAACACAGAAGGAGAAGAAAATGACTTACTTTTCATACTTGTCCATGGCGCAGACCCACTTACACAGGCCTTCAGCTGCAGTGGATGCAGTTCGGATCTTCTCCGGTACAAAGTCTGGGTTGGTGATGTACTTGTTGCGGATGATGGCGATGTAACTGGGTGGGATGTTGTCCTTGTCATATTCATGGAGGCTTTGGAGAAACTTCATTTCTCCCAGGATCTTTTTGGCCGGGCCCCAAAAGTCCTCCACTTTTTTACCAGAGCCGGAGGGGTCCGGTACGCGGTCTGGCTTGATGCCTTTGAGAATGCAGATCGCCTCCATCACCAGTTTGACAGCTGGGGGCGGGCTTTTCATGGACTTCACCACTGTGATATCCTGTAGATAAAAACAAAACAACTCTATATGCATGTCCTATTATATATTCTATTCCAGTACACCAATAATAATTATGAAATATTCAACATTCATTCATAATGGCCAAGTATAACAATAATACATGATTACTGGTCACACATTGACATTCTTCTTGCATGATCAAAGAGCATTATCATTTCCATAGTTGTAGAATACGACCATCTTTTTATAATGCATTATAATCACTGTTATAAAGCATCATAAAGGGTTAATAAGTAACTATACAGTAAGTGGTCATTTGCTTTAGGTAAAGTAAAAAATATATCTATATTCTATATTTAAACAATGGCTAATAAGAGTCACATATTATCCCATTATAATGCATTATACAGTGATTATCATGCAATATAAAAAGATTACAATGTTTTACAATTATGGCAATTATAATATACTGTCAACAGGAAAAGAAAACATCTGTGAGTGACCAGCAATTATGACGTATTATGATTCTTCATCCTATAAGTCAATACAGGGTCAGGTTTATGCTTTACAGTATAATGTGTAATGATTGTATAAAGCATTATGAGTATTTCTGAGTGCTTATAACTATAATAATACGGTTCCAAAGGCATATTATAATGCATTACAATGTCAATAATCATGCATTGTCCTACCTGATTGGTGAGAGTGTTCAGGGCAGACAGCGCCGACTCCAGGATGGGCATGGCTTCCTCCAGGTCAGCATCACACTCGTCCTTGATGGCTTTGGCAGCCATGGCTTGCTCGTTGGCCACGGCCTCGTCCACTTTCACCACCTTCTCGGTCTCAGCCACCTCCACAGACTCGTGCTCGATCACCACCATCATCTCATCCACCTCCTTGCTGGCCACGAGCAGCTGCGGCTGTAGCGCCTCCAGCTCCACCTGCATGGAGGCCACCTGATCTGCTGCTGACTCCAGCTTCTCCAGGCCCACCTCATAGCGACGTTTCATTTTCATCACCTCACTGGGCAAAGGACAGAAATAATTAAGGAAACAAGTCTCACTTTTAGACATGGAATTTGGCCATTTAGCCGAGTTTTCCAAATTAAGACTATTTTCGAAACAATTTTAATTCAAGTCCTTTTAAATTACAAGATCAATGATAAACTAATCAATCAATCAATCAATCAACATTATCTATATAGCAATTATCATACACAAAAAGGTAACAACAAATAAAAAAAATACTAGCCCCACCTATCAGTCTATAGACAGAGTAAAACATATACCAACTGACATCATGATCTTGATATAAAGCCAAATTAAAAGGTGGGTCTTTAGTTGGCTTTTAAAAGTATAAACATACTCAAACATAATGTCCACACACAGTAAACCTTAAAGGTTTCCTATTATACAATTGTTTATATTATAGGTCTCAGATATATAAAAAACATGTCTCTGAAGTGTTTTGCTCAAAATACCAAACAGATCACCCATTCTAGCCCTGCCTCATACCCCTCTATTTCAGCCCTGTTAGAGAGGTGCTGATTCTCGGTCCGTAGCTTTAAAAAAAAGAGAGCTCATGCTGGAGAATACTACCCAGATACTCAGCTAAACGTGATTAAACGCCATAGTATGTTCCAAACCACATCAAGGATTATTTCTCAAACAGTATGGAGCTCAAATGGTTTCTCTCTCGCGGGTTTATCACAAGGTGAGTTCCTTTTGTATCCGGCTTCTTTTCACATACTCTCTCCAGTACAGTGTTAGCTCTGAGTGTTAGCGATGCTTGCTAATGTAAACACAGACCATATTACTTCCAAAACACGTCACGCATTGTTTCTGATACTGCAACGTTTCTGATAGGGGACGATAGGTTGGGTGGGCCGAACGTTGCCAGGAGTTCAACGTAAAGCCAGCCCACATTTTTAGTAATGTCGTCATGACCGCAGCAAATCTGGATCAGCTCCATTGTACCCCCGTTTTTAGAGAGTATTTTCGGACACACCAGGGACACATATTTATGTATAAAAGACATCAACAAGTGCATTTTGCATAATAGGTGAACTTTAAAACTTACGCTCTTTTGGTATTTAACAGAGCCTTGAAAGTGTTAATGAGTTCCAGGTATGAGGTTGGGGTGACGTAGTTGTAGCGCTGCAACTCGTTCATAAAGCGATGGGAGAGTTCTATGGTTGAGGTGTGAAAGCTCTTGCACATGTTGATGCAGCCTTCTCGGGACTCATCGGTCATTTCAACATCCTCCAGGAAGCGACAGGCCACCGCCTGCAGGGCATCCTCTGGCCAGGTCTGATAAGCAAGGAAGTAAGCTAAATTACAACTAAGTAGCCATATATATTACATTTACTTTATTTCTGCTATGGTTTTTTGCCTATTTTCACAGTCAAGCACAGCATATTGTCTCTGTGATGTTATTAACTAACATGCATGAACACACCTGGAACCAGTTAATGGTGCAGCAGTTAATGAGGGCGGGGAAACGTCTCAGACGGTTCCTGAAGGCGTCTCCGATGGGACTCATGGCCAACACCACATGCAGCTGTGTGCGACAGCGCTCTATAAACATGTTGAAAAGAGAAAGGGGGGCTGCCATCTGTCTGCTTGTCGCGGTCTCGTTGGCGGTCCAACACGCGCATTCGCTCACACATTTCCGCCTTCTCGTCAACGGCAAACAGGTTAGGCACCTGGAAAAGATGACAGAGTTGTGTAGATTGGGTACAGGCCTTTTAAATAGAACAATCTGTACATATATCCAGAGGATGAAGACGTATTCAGAACTACTACTTAATTAAAAGTAGCCATACTACAGATTAAAAGTACTCTAAGTAAAATCATACTCAATTACAAAAGTAATAGCATCAAAATATACTTAAAGTTCCAAAAGTAAAAAGTACTCTGCAGTTTGGCGCATTTCAGAAAAATATGTATCTGAAATAAACTACTATAGTTATTGATGCATTATTGTTTTAATCTTTTTTGGCTTGGTAAAGATGATATTTATATAATAATAATAATACTACATGATATATAGTGCTTTTCCTGGTGTCTCAAAGCGCTTTACAAGCAAGTAAAGAAGAAATAACAACTATATATACAGTATGAACTACTTTATTTAGTGCTGAGTAGCTTAACCTATGATCATATATAATAATTTGTTAGTTGACTCCTATTTTGTGCAAATAATATAACCTTGTAAAATAGCTAGTGACTAAAGCTATAAAATAAATGTACACGATTAAAAAGTACAACATTTGCCTACAAAATGTAGCATCATGTGAAATGGGATAACCTTAACCACACAAGCGAAATGTAAGTACCTCATTTATTTATTTAAGTTAATGTACTTAGTGACATTCCACCACTGCATATATCCATATGTATTGCTTTTATCTTATGTAATCTATAAATTAACTCAACCATCCATCCAATTTACCTCACCGGTGTTGAGCAGGTTACCAACGTCCTCCAAGAATGACTCCATTTTGATTTGAGTGTCCGTGAAGAGGAAAACGCCATGAGCTTCCCCCTGTGTGGACTTCATCATAATGAGCTTCAGGTCATCGTGCCATTCTGTGGTTCCATAGGTCTTGGAAATCTCCACCTGGAAAAGTTCCGCCTCTGCCATGTGGGCAGCCAACCGTGTGAGAGACTGCCGCCCGCTCCCGCCCACGCCCACCAACAGGGCGTGGCCGCTCGGCTGCTTCAGAATGCGAGAGATGCGACACACGTGTTCGATGGCGAAGCGGAAGAGCACCAGATTCATGGGCGCTTTGCTGACGTTGTTGTACTCCTCCAGGTGTGACTCCACCACCTGACGGAGCTGGTCCAGGTTGTTCACCTCGCGGTAGTTGCGGTCGTCGCCCTTAGGGTCGTGAAAGTCGCAGAACATGAGGCTGCGCAGGTCGTCCTCTGTGACCTTCCCGTCTTGATCCTGGTCAAGATGCTGGAAGAGCTGATGGAAGTCTTCCTTCATGTGGCTCTGAGACACCACCTGTAAGTGGCTTACAAGCCAGGAGCGATCTGAGTCTTGGACCAGACGATCATAATAAACCCTCAGCACCTGAGGATCAACAAGAAAAGAGTGAATGATACAGTGGGAAAGGTTTAGACAGATGCCAACACAGACAATTTCAAAGGAATACCAGTGTGTTCAGACCAAACACATAGCAAATGTTTGCCCAAATGAATGAATTATCTTTTTTGAAGTTATTCCAAACCCACAAATATTTGCTCTTACTCCGGCTCACCTCCATAGATACACCATACTTGCCAAAATGTATTTTTTTAACCAGCAATGACCAAAATAACCACCCTTGTACCTGTCAATGAACTCCAAGAAATGGCTGAAATGCTGTGTAGTCCGGGGTTCATAACTTTATCCTAAGAACAGCGACAACATTTTTGTCCACCATTTCTGATTCTTGGTGGGTGGCTTTAAAGCCACAAAAATGTTCGATGTAGTTGAAACATTTCAACTTGATCTGAGTTTTATTTGAATTTTCAGGTGCAAATCTGCATCTATCTTTGTCTTTACATCGCCGTTGTATGTATTTAGAAAGATCTGCTTTGCGTTTGTTCTGAAAACACCTTAACAGGCCGACTAAGCTTGACTATAGCAATATATATTTCTACTATTTGTATTTTCATACATTTCTATTTTATTTACACGTTTAAGGAGCTGTCAGCTGTTCCACACTCTATGTTGTGTACAATGTTACCTCATGCACCCAGAGCCGTTTTATCACGCTTGGGTTATCTGCACTCTCTGGACGCGACAGGCAGATGCCTTGGATGACCCTGGAGACATCGCGCAGATTGAACAAGTAATGGGACTTTGTGGGCGTTGGGAGCAGGTTCTTGGTGGCTTCTTCGTACACTGACATGGTGCCCCTAACGATCTGAGAGGTCAGAGCTGCAAATAGCTTGGGGAAAGGAAACCTGTAGATGTAATAGTTAGAATTCAATCATTTATTGTTGTACAGTTTTTAAATGAATACGTGAAGTAAATAAGATTAATGTTTTTTATCTTTTATCAATGGCTTTAATAATGTGTTGCCAGAAAGGCAAGTATCTTGTTAAAATCCGATATGAAAAGAGATATTTCTGTTTGCAGGAGAGGTTAGGTTGCTTTAAACAATTTTAACACATTTATGTTTACTTGTGCACTCTATGGTTAACACTGTTGCAGTGCAGTAAGTGAGGAGAAAAAGCACTGAAATTGCCTAATTAGAGCAGCTCAGTGGATTATGATTATTCCTTAACATTGGGAACATTTGTGGAAAATCACGAAATAAATTAAACAAGCTACGTAGTTACCGTATGCTGAAATGCCAGTCTGAGATCCTAGAGAAGATTGTATACATGGTCTTCTCATCAAAATCATTAATGGTAATCATGTTGAAGTGGCGCAGGTACCGAGACGTGATGGGGTTCCTCCCTCCGCCTAAACAAGCAGGGCAAGAAAAAGACAACACATCTGATGAATATGTGTTAACCATTTTTCTTTAGAGAGACTCTTTGCCCAAAACAGTTTAAAGTAAAGCCATTACTGTTCTATTCTCTTTTTGTTTTATAATAATACTGTTATTTCAGTTTTGAAAGTGAGTAAAGACTATATGACAGTGCTGCATATTACATTAAATGTACATTAAGCTGATGCTAAGAGAACGACTTATATACCCAAAAATACTGAAGACATGCCTACGGGAGCAATTTGGGGCTAAGTATCTTGCCCAAAGACACTTCAACATATTGACTGAAGGAGTTGAGGATGGAACCACTGACCATCTTAATGGTGGATCAGCAAATGAACCCCAAAAGCTGCACATTTTGCTCTCATGCTCTAAATAATGTTAAACTATTCCGGTAACCACATTCAACATTGGACATGGACAGGGAGACCAGTTACTGTATGTCTCAGGGTGTCTGAAGGAAAGTTTGAGGACCGCTGACAGACATTCTTCCTACTAGCTACGTGTTGGTCATGTTCGAGATACACAAGTTTACAATAGCACATTGATAAATCATTTTAGCCAACTAATATCATTAATACAGCAAGTGTAAATCACCACTATAATGACTGTGAAAAGGTGTTATTTAATTTAAAATAAGGGTAAAAACACAAAAGAAGCCTCCTTCATGGTTTCCCTGGGGTGGGTTCAGTGCTACCCACAGCTGTAATGGGCAGCAGCCTAGAAAATTATAAACTATAAACAGCAGCAGAGACTGAAGCTTTGAGGGCACCTGAGTGTGGCACCCATCCCCTCCCTTGCTCTCTATTGCAGCTGTCGCAGCCAGATGCCTCAGTTGACATGGGTGCTTTGTGTTTACACTGGTAGTTGTAGTAGAGTCGGAAGTGGTAAACACTTGTAAACACCTCAAGGCAGTGAGGGGCTGCACAGAACAGCAGCCAGTGGTTTGTGACATTGACTCAACAGCACTTTAGCAGCAATTTAGAGACAGAGTTGAAAAAAGGTTTTCACTCAAATAAATGCCTTTTGTCGACTTTTGTCAATCTAGGGCTTTGGTATAATTTATGTGACAATACAGTGGTGCAGGAATGAGTCCAAAAAAATCTGAAATGAGTCAGCATTATGCGACTTCCGGTTGGCTCCGTTGAAGTCAATGTTTTTTGTATGGGTTTTTCGTTAGATGCCCAAAATAAGGTCTGCAGTTACAAGCATAGAAGATATTAACATTTTGTTCTACGACATAAAAAGCTTCAGTTAATACCCCACTGGAAAATGTCTGTAACTTAAATTTGACATAAAAACAGCAGTTGCTAACAGGTGACCAAATTAAACTACTTAATGCTACCAAGCCAAACATTAGCCGCCTTAGCTCAGAGGTGGTGAAAAAATGTCAGAGCTTTTTGTTGAAGGAGCCCTTGCGATGCTTACTTCCAGGTCAGCCTACAGAAATATGTCATCATTGCACCACTCTATACTCTTCTGCTGCTACTCACCCGGTGGTCCCATAGCGCAGATGACCTGGATGTCCACCAGCTTGATCATGGAGCAGTCCTTCAGGTCGTACCAGTTCCAGTGGTCCAGCCACTGGCGCAGCAGCTCCACGGGGGGCTGGGCACCGTAAACCTCCCGGGCCGGCATGTTCACATCATCCACAAATATCACCTGATGATTAGATATAAGAATAATAATGATAATAATAATAATGATAATAATAATAACACATTCAACTTATAAAGTGCTTTTCTAGATACCCAAAGTCACTTTACAAAACGTTAAACAAAACAAACAAAGATGAGATGTAGTGAATTAGAAACAATACAAAGAGGTGGGTTTCGAGTGCTTGTTTGAATGATGGCAGGGTGGTTGACTGTCTGATGTGGAAGGGGGAGGGCGTTCCAGAGGGAGGACGCAGCAGCAGAGTAGGCCCGATCACCCCAGGTCCCGAGCTTAGTCCTGGTGGTCTTTAGGGTGTTTGCATCTCCGGAGCTGGCAATGGGTGGGGTTGTGAGGATGGAGGAGGTCAGAGAGATAGGGAGTGGCCAGGTTGTTGAGGGCTTTGTCTGTGGTGATCAGAATTTTAAAGTCAATACTGTATTTGACCGGGAGACAGGGGAGGTTTTGGAGGACCGGAGTGATGTAGTCTCTGCGGAGTTCTGGACATATTGGAGTTTATTGATGATTTTGCTGGGTGAACAGTATAGGATGCTATTGCAGTAGTCGAGTCTGGAAGTGATGAGGGCGTCAATGAGGGTTTCAGCGTCAGTAAAAGAGAGGGAGGGTCAGAGACGGGCAATGTTCTTTAGGTGAAAAGGGTTTGGTGATGTGGCAGGAAGGAGAGTGTGGGCTCAAAGAGGATACCAAGGTTGCGGATCTGAGTAGAGGGGGTGATGTTTGAGCCGTCGATGGTGAGTGAGAATGACTGACAGAGCGGGAGAGGGAATTTGGGCCAATGATGATTATTTCAGATTTATTGCACTTGAGTTGGAGGAAGTTTTCTTGCATCCATGTTTCGAGATCCGTAAGGCAGGCGTTGAGGGTGGAGTGGGTGGTGGATGTGATGGTTTTTGAGGAGAAGTAGACACTAGTATATTTGGGATAGGATTATTTACAAATAAAGCACAATGTTTTTTATATTGACAATTGTTTTTTGTTTAGATGCACAGTTTGGCGCATGTTGCATGTAAATGGACGTATACAAATTAGAGGGTCATGGTTTGACCTTGTAGTCCACATGTCGATGTGTCCTTGGGCAAGATGTTAACCCATAAATGCTACCGTAGGAATGTAGCCATCTACAGTATTGAAGTGTATGTAAGTTGCTTTGGATAAAAGCTAAACAAAAGAAATGTACAAATGTCACAATTTGAGTGACCCATTTACTGATATGAATACAAAATGAAAAAGGCATACCAACATAAGACTTCATATGAACATAATAAAAGGGGTTTACCATTTTCTTTCCCAAAGGGGGTCCAAAGACTCCTTTGCGCCGCTTATCCAGCTTGGACATAATAATGTTTTGTGTCTGTGCCGCTGTGGTCTGGGCTGAGAAGTTGATGAATAATGGGCTGTAGACATCCTTCTTCAGCTGGTTCAAGAGAAAGTCCTGAGAAATAAGACATTGGAAATATAAACATAGAGTAGTTTATCATCAAATCTCATAGTACAGGGATGGAAAGCTAGATGTTGATGCTGTTGAAAATTGAAATCTATTTATTTATAAGTATTTTCACACTCTATTCTTAATTAGCATGCCAAAGAGCCTGTTCAGGTAGAGTACACATTAAATGGCAATTTCCAGGCTGATCCTGGCAAATACTTGTGATAAGCTTTGTAATCTAATTAAATGTGGCATTTAGTGAGTATTTCATTAGATCCGAACTGGATCGCAGTTTTAATCCCTGAAAGTGACTTTGTAATGAAGCGGGGAATTAGTTGCCCTCTGAGGACAGAATCTTAAATAATGTTCTGCGTGTCAAAGGGGTGAAATCAATTTATTTTTTGATTCTGCAAGAGGGTTTACAACAGGGCATTTTACTTTGATGCTTAAAGAGGCATTTATGAGTGGCCATTCGATAAAATGCCCTTAAGGCAAACGGCCTTCACTTGTCTTTTTATAAGAGCAGAAAAAAACAACATAGTCTAGGATGATCTGTTGGTTTTGATCAGGTTTTATGGTGCTGTTTCGATGTACCATGTGTGTCCAGAGCACATGACGTAGCTGGCCCTAGGATCATGTGTGACAATAAGTGTTAAATACATCTTGTAGGAGACATCTATGTTTATTGTTGGTGTGTCAGTTTATTTTGTCTAGATTTATCATGCATTATTGTTTTGAACACTTGGCGGGGTTTAGCTGCACAGGGTGTATAAATAGGGTCATAGGTGACAGGAAAAGGCGGGCACAGGAAAAGCGATAACAAACCTTTCTTACCAGAAGCGACAGATGCTAACAGATGCTAACAGCTACCACTGGCAGAATCAAACCTTGGTATTGTACAACCTCTTCAATAAACATCAGACTAAACTGCATCCAACGACCGTAGTTTGTGTCTCACCTGAGTATTAATGGAATTTGCAAAGGAGAAATTAGGATATTTAAATGGCCATTACACATGTAGTTAGGTTAAACGTACAATATTTTCCTCAAAATGTCGTGGAATTAAGTATAAAATAGCATCAATGGAAATACTCAAGTATAGTAGAAGTATGTCAAAATAGTGCAGTAGTTAATCAAATGTACACTATTACAGTCCACCACTGATGAGCCTCTTTTTGACTAGATCATCCAGTGGCAAGGCCTCTCTCTGTCTCACTTAACAGTGAGTTAAGGAGACTGTGGCTGATTGTACTGGGGGTGATGTCATCATTTTTGGTCTGACTGCTGGTGCTGCTCCTGCCAGATTTGGGTTTACAGCCACGGTCTGCTGGTGGAGGCTTGGGACAGGCAGGCAGGAAGTGGAGAACAAGGCATCTGATCTCTATTCACCCCAGAGTCTCAAGTTTGAGCACACTAATGAATGAACTAATGAAGCAGAGTGAAGGAGTGGGGGTAAGTCCTTGATATAAAAAGCTGAAGCTCTGCAGAGATACTCAGTATTCCTCCAAGGTGGCCCCTTTCACACCTGGTGAGTAGCTGTGTTGCCTCCAAATGATTTCTACACTTCCCGAGGCCGGAACTACAGAAATAAATGCTCACTCATGCTACTGAAAGGTGCTGTTAGCAGCATAGGAGGTTTTGGTTGAAAATACCAAATCTTGAATGGACTACACAGCGGGTGTACATGAATGCAACTCAACGACGCTAATTTCGAATGTATTTAATATTGTAGGGGCGCCTTTAGGTAACACAAATCTGTGGACGACTTTTGTTTGTTGTTAAATTACATTGAAGCCATTTTCACACACACGTACACACACAGAAAGCATACAAATCCAACTGTCCAATCACATGTTGTATTATCCGTTTTGTTTTGGCCTTCCTCAGTATGTTATCATTTGTCTCTGTTTAACGTTCTAAAATCGTTTTTTGTCTGTATCAATGACAATGTTTTTGTCTACATCTCGTTTATTACAGCAAAACAATGGGGAAAAATGACAAAGTACGTGTTAGTCTTTCTGACAAAATAAAGCTACTGCAACTCCTAAAATGTGTGCAACATCTTTTAAAATACATTTATTTGTTCTGTTTGGTCACTTAAAAATATCAAAATGAATGTTAAGTAACTATTGCTGATAAAAACAATTGTGGCTGTGGTGCTTCTGCATCATTCTCAATTTGAATAGCTTTCTGCTCATCACAAACACACGTACATTTTTCCAAGCTTTACATTCATAAACTCACTGTGATGTAGACACTCTTGCCAGTCCCGGTGGGGCCGATGAATATGGTGGGTTTCTGGTGGGTGATGAGGAGCTCCATCAGTGCCATGTAGCGCACCGTGTTCTCAGTGGGCACGATGATCTCATTGAACTGCATGTCTTTGCATAAGGGGGGAGCCGCCTTCAGCTGATCGGTCCACAGCTCCCACCTGCCCGGACCCTGGAGAGGAAGAACAAAACAGAACAAACTCTTATCTTATTGACCCGTTCATACCAATTGCCTGCAAAAATATGAATAATCCAATTTCTGGCAGTCTTTTATAGCCAGAGTTATTTGTGACCATACCAACTTTTATCCTAAAACCAAGTTGTAAGGGCAAATCTCTTTTTTTTTAAGATGTAAAAAGGTGCCGTAACAATTAGCTCGACTAACACAATCTTGTATGAAATATAACCATGACAATTAATAACATTTATTGTAAAATAATTACAAAAATATCACAAAATGTTGATCTACGTATTATACATTTTTGTCTATTAACACCTTTTTTCAAAACAGACTAAGAAGAAGAATGTCTGAAATGTAGTTCATACAGTATGGGGGAATTGGACTGAGTTTGGTTTTGCTTTGAACACAATGCTTTGTTTAACATCTTCCATAATAAAATAAGTATTTACTGGCAGCAAATTCATGCAGGTGGAGCCATGTAACAGAAAAATAATCCTGACAATATATAAAGGTCACACCAAGATAAAAATGTGCATTTCTTCTTTCACAGTGTCTGGGGAGAAAGAAAATGTAATACAGGAATGTTTCTCTTTTAGTCTAGTGCCTGAGATCCAATCTAGAGGAGGATCTCTTTGTTTGTAGTCAGTTATTGTGATTTCAGAATCCTTTTGTCTCCCTATTTTGTATGCAGACTCCCAGCAGAAAGCATAGAGCCTGGCACATTCCTGCGTCAAGAGATTGCACCTCTTGTATCTCCCTCAGGCTAGAGGATCAGCTGTCCATGACGTCCTTCTTAACCTTTAGGTGGCGTCTGTAATGATTTGGATTCTAAACATGTAATGGCATGAAGCAAAATATGTTAACGACCCTTCATAGTTGGTTAAATATGCTAACAAACGGAGTATTGGGCAGCACTGACTGTAGCTCAAAACTAATTTCCACTACAAGCCCTACCTACCTCTTTAATGAAGCGATACTGGTAGACTGTGTCCTCCGAGGGCAGTGGCACTGTGAACTGTTTGGCTGGAGCCTCCACGGTGGCCAGGATGCCATGGAGAGTGCAGGTCTCCTCACTCAAAGGGCCGCTCAGTACCTCCCTGACCACGGCGTCAAACTTGACCCGTCCTGGATCATCACAGCTGGCACCCACTGACCACACCAGGCAAAACACGAAGATTCCCTGTTGAAAAGGAAAGGACAAACGCATGTATATCAAGTGGTCCATGACAGCAGTTATGGAAAAAACAACAATCATTGGTGACAGTTAAAGAAGAATTTTACCTAAGTACAAGTATATATGGCAACTCGTTTTAGGTTTAGGTTTAAAATGGTACACTGGCTTGCTATTGCATACCATTTTAGGTTCTTGCATCACATTTATGACAAGCCATCAGACAAACACAGTGTACAGGAGTTCAAGTATTTGTAAGCTAAATTACATTAAGAAAAATAACTTGAGTTGCGTGCCATATCACTTTCTTTCCAGCCTCATGTTTCTCTATATTAATCTTGATATCAATATTTTTCAAGGTTATGCTCGTATAGTAAAAAATATATGTAAATAGATACTATTATACTGTCAAAACATCAAAAATCCTAGTGCAAAGATGTTTGCCGTCAAAAGCAATGTACAGATTACTTTGAGACAAACACCAGAATCCACAAAGGAGCAACGTATTTGTTGGAAAAGAAACCCAGCAGGAATACTGCAGGAATTTGAAATGGCCCATCACGAGGCTTAGCGGCCTCATGATGGCTCCTGCTGTTAGGAGGCTGATTAATTCAACACTGCGATAATGACTGGCTGAGAAACATGGGAGCGAGGGTTGAAAGGCATTCATCAGCGCGCCACATGGGGATAATAGCACTGCTTCCACAAGACAGGATTCAGAGACAAAAAAAATCAATTGGAACTCAGGCAGGGGGCAGAGGAAAGGGCTCATCTTCTCAAACTTTTCCTAATCCTGTGCGGAGGTAGAATGCGTAAAAGGAAAACGGCAAGCTTTCTGGTCATTACTGAATCTGAGTTTACTGTTTCCTAAAATAAATGTGGATGTGTTTTTAAAGAGCAATGCAAGAGCCAATAACTCAGTTCATTATTTTTATTTTAGTTCTCAAATTGAGCTGTGAACTTCTTGTTTTGATTAAAAGATGTTGAGTTTATTGGAGTCTGAATGAAGCTGAAAATAACAAAATGTATCTAAACATATGAGAGATGTGTCCAATTCTCCCTTTCAATTAGTATTACCTCAGAACATAATGGACATTGTTAGTTTCTCTTCCATTTAACAAGTATGTTTTTTTATGTCTTTCAAAAAGACAATTTTCTCTACTTCGGCTGTGTGTGATTTAGACATTGGCACCGTGGATGTATTAAGAAAACTGTAAACAAGTTCATGGGTGGGTCCTGGTTTATTCTTATAAGCAATGCTCAATGGTGCCTGAAGCTTCCACTGGGAAGTAAATTCAGCTTCAACAGCAGCTTGATTTACACAATATGGAAACTGGCAATTTGCTTTCCTATCGATTGATATATGGTTCATGCAGTTTAGTTTTGCAGTGTATCTGGTCCAAGGGGCTATTGTAAGTCCCTTTCATGATAGAGAGCTGTCTTTTCTCCTGCTATTAATCCTAGCAAACCACAGATTTGAGTCACTCAGACAGTCTTAGAGGTCACCAGGGGACTAGCAGGCCAATACTGAGGGAATGTATTGAACACATCAACAGTCAAATGAGCCAGAATACTCTTTAATTAAACAAAGACAAAACTGAGGAGGTTTATTTTATGAATAATATTTTTGGTTTAAAGTCAGCACTAAGCCTCAAACGGCAATGTTGAATACAACGGAGCAGGACGGAAACTTGGTATGATCATGGACTGAATTTCAACTGCCACATTATAGATAATTACCAAGTAAGCCTACAATCACCTTAAGAATATAAAGGATTAAAGGATTTACTTCTTGGCAGGATTTGAGGAACTTGTCCGTTTTCTTCGGTAGACTCGACTACTGTAACAGTGTCTCACAAAAAAATCTGTTAGAAGTCTGTCGCTGATTCAGTGTGCTGCTGCTGGAGTCTTCACTAACACCAAGAAAATGGATCACATCAATCCAGTTCTGAGGACTTTTTGTTTGTCAAACTATTGATTTGGTTTGTTTATAAAGATTGACATGGTTTAAGACAAAATACATTTCAGATTTTCGGCTACATTAATACACCCAGAAGGCTCAGGTCATCTGGGAAACTGATCATTAGGAAGCAGCGTCCATCTATCTATTTATCTATGTTTAACTGTGTTTTAATTACCTTTGGTATGTTTCTTTTGCATTTTGTCTCTGTTTTTTTATGTAGTTCTTGAAGTCTTGAATATATTTTTGGTATTTCTTCGCAGTTGTGGTTTGATTTTTTTTTAATGACACTATATCACATCGACTCATTTTGCAGGGAGGCTGAATCAAGTGTCATACGAGAGGATTTTTAACATTCAGATCTGAATGTTGTTGGACTTCTTTTGGGGCATTTGGCTTGTCCAAATAACCCATCATGATAGTTTTGTGATGCTGTAGCCACTCTTGGGATTATAATATATAATTAATATAATATTAACTTAAAGTCTGTTATTGTTAAGGATATTAGAGTAATAATAAGTAGCAGTAGTAGAAGTGGGTGTGTCCACAAACCTCCAACCAGGAGCAAACATCGTTTTCATGCATGCTCTTCATCTTTGCTTCATCATGGAACTCATCCATCATACAGTCCATCAGATTCATCAGGGACTTCACTAGATTGGTGTCAGAGGTCGGGGACAGCTCCTGGAAAAGAAACAAACGTTCAAACTCAAAGAGAAGAGATTCAGAAACCTAAACTATTTCAAAACCATGATATTTCCCTATACCTTGCAGAGAAGAAAGCACATTTATCAATGTGACATTTATGCATTTTTGTAGATGGCAAGAGAACATTTAAATGTTTTGGAGTAATAAAAAGCTGTACAACAAACAGTATTCCCTGAGGATGTTTCAGCACCTTGGTGGCCTTTCGAATGAGCAGAAGGCAGGCTGGCAGTATGCGGTCGAAAAGGCCAGTGATGAGCTCTTTGTGCGCTGCATTGACTGTGGCGGGCAGGGTATTGAACCAGGACAGCATAAGGGGCCGCCAGCCCAGCATATGAGGCTCCATGTAGATCATACCACAGCGAGACACCTGTTGTAAAACAAAAAACATCTGAAAAAACACATCTAAACCACTGGTACTCAACATAAAGAACAATCAATTGCAGTACACAACTATCAGACCAGTAATGAGAATTACAAAAGGATCATTATCAGTAAGGTATTGGATGCATTACGGTAAATTATGTGTGGACAAGCAGTGCGGTGCAGGTGAGCATTCTTGAGGCAATTTAATTAGTTAACTTAGGTTTAGTAGCAGGGCCAGGCTTCAACCACACCTCTAAACACCTGCTAAACTACTCATTACAGTCAACAAATCCGGCCTCGTTTGTTCCCAATTTGAAAACCTAGCCTCACTTTTCCTCCCAATTATCCATTCCCCTTCCTAGACCATCTTTACCCACTCCTCTTCATTCTTTCTTACAACCTCAATTCATTCCTCCATACCTCTCTATATCCCTTGATCCCTCCCTCCCGACATCTCTTCAACCCTTTAACTCTCCCTCCCTAGTTCTACTTTCATCCCTTACTTCCTACATCCCTTCCTCTTTACATCCATTAATCCATTCATCCCTCCCTCCCGAAATCCCTTCGACCGTCGCCCCTCCCTCCTGACTCTAACATTCATCATTCCCTCTTTACATTCCTTCAACCCATTCATCTCTTCCATTTGGCATCCCTTGACCATTCATCTCTCCCTATCTACATCTCTTCGACACTTGATCCCTCCCTCTTTACATCTTTTCAACCATTCATTCATTCCTCCCACACTAGATCTCTTCGACCCTTTAACTCTCCATCCCTAGTTCCCTTAACCTGTTAAGCCCTGAGCCTGTTTTTCAGGTTTCAGGCTAGAAAATGACATGCCCAGAACAAATGACTATAGCTTCACTTCTAAAAGGGGTACATTAATTGTCTTTTTTCTCAAAGTAATGATAAACCTGTGAGTTGGATGTAGAAAAGTCAGAATCAATATAGATGTTTTTATTTTAAAGGAAATTCAGATTGAACATAGTAAAAAAATGCAAATGATAGTTTCCGTCTAAAAAAACCCCATTACTTATAGTGAAAACCACCCTTGAATGATGGAATAGTAGACTAAAAGCTTTAGGAATCCAAACTATAACATATAATAAGTACCCTGTATCAAGATTGATGCAAAACAAGTGACATTTGACCTTTTTAGAGAGGTTTAGAAAAAAAAACCACCTCTGGGGTCATTTGGGTGTATTTGCCATATCTCTGGAACCCATTGGTCGATTTTGGTGATTGACACCTCTTTTGAACCGTTAGAGCCAATAGAATCTAGGAGAAGTTCCTAAATCCACCTACACATTACCATTGAGGAGTGAGAGTGATGCGCACGCAGTTTGCCCAAACCGAAAGCTATGTTACGCTCGGAAAACTGAAAATTGAAAACTAGGCTTATTGCCATAAATATGATGATGGATTATCAGTAATCATTTCAAAGTGACACAGAGACATTGGATTAACCTTCAGCAGCGTTTATATGGGTTTTAATGCCCTTGAACACAACTTTTGATCAGAAAACAGCAAAGGTAAGACGTATTTGCCGTTTTGGCTACGTAAAGTGAAGTTGTGTGTTGTTTTTGATGGCTTTCGCTCCCGCGAGTTTTGGTTGCACAGTGGTGATACTTATACCATTGGAATCTGTGGAATCTCAGTTTCCATATGATATCGAGTTTGTGCAGATCCGATGAAGTATAATCTATTTCTACCGTGAGTTATGTGCTAAGTGCATTAGCACTCTTTCGCTTAGTGCTAATTCAGAGGCTCGGTGTTAGACTTATGTTTTGTTTCGGTAAAAATTGTTCATATCGTCAGGTAGCTGAGTTTCTTCCCGTTAAGTGGGTATGACACATTAATAGGTTGTTCAATGTTAAGAAGCCCTCAGACGCTGTTTCTTGCAATACGTTGCTTGTTGCCCCGGGGGGGGGGGGCTCCCGGGCTTAACAGGTTAATCCATTTATCCCTTCCTTCATACATCCCTTTATTTCTCCCTCGCTAAATCCATTCATCCCTCACACCTAACAACCCCTTCGACCGTGCGTCCTTCCCTCTTGACATCCCTTCATCCCTTCCTATCTTCATCCATTTGACCTTTTATCCTTCCTTCCTTACATCCCTTCAACCATTCATCTCTCACTTGCAACATTCATTGGTGATTCATCCCTCCCTATCTACATCCCTTTGACTGTTCCTCCATCCCTCCTCCATCCCTCCCCACATCCCTTCTTCCATTCCTCCGACCCGCCCTTCATCCCTCACTCCCTTTATCCCTTCATCCTTACATCCCTCCCTACATCCCTTCTACCCTTTATAACTCTTTCCCTACATTTGTATTGACGTTTCATCCCTCCCTCCCTCCCCATATCCCTTCATCCTTTCCTCCCTACATCCCTTTGACCCTTTATCCCTCCCTCCCTAAATCCCTTCATCCTCTCTCACCTTATCTCTTTCTATGGAATCTGTTTAATATTTGTGTGCCCTATTCTAGGTACAGTCTGGGGGCTTTATTCAAATTGGGCAGGAACACGTCTGAAATGGATCCCCCAACCTGAGTTTCACCTTCAGTTCGACCTTCAGACAGACATCCCTGATCCTTTTTCCCCTCTTCCCCTTACATTCATCAGGGCTCAACATTTGATACCTCCTTCAATGCAATCTTAAACTAACATGTTGTTTTGACATAGTCCTTGCTTGACATTGTAACATGTATAGATTTCAACAAAATAGTTACACTATATTTTGTATACTGGTACATTCTGTAAATGAGGGTGTGCTGATACCATCTCTAATGAATTCCAGATGACTATATTACAACCTTTCTTAAAGAGAAGCTTTTAATGAGATCCCGTAGCACCATAGGAATAGCTTCAGGAAGGAATAAGAACAAAGAATAAAGATGAGCTGAGATGGGATAAGATATAATGTATGAGCTGAAGCTGAAAGAGATGTGCAGATGTGACAGGAGAAAAAAGAAGAAAAGAAGAAGAGTGAAGTTTTAAAATGAAGGGGGAGAAAAATAACTCTCATAGACGAAGTGAGAAAGAGATGGGGAAAAAAAGAGGAAAAAAAAGTTTTTTTGAAGAGTGCACAAAAGGGATCCATCACAGAATGGGGGGAGTCCACTGTGATCAAAAATGTTTATGCCTCTGTATTCAGCATGATGAAAGGAACAGATGCAGGCTATAGAAAACAGACGTCTGTTTAGTAAGAAGAGTAGAGCAGAGGAGATTCAACGGTATCCTCTCAAGGCATCTATGTATAGCAATCACGAGCCTTTGTTACTGCCTGACAACAAAGAACCATATGGAAAGAAGATTTACAAAAACAATCTTTTGTGAACTATGAAAGAGTGGATTGCCGTTTATTTCAAAAGGATTTAAAAAGGTGAGTCAACCCTGTGATCTCTTTGTTAGCAAAGATTTGAGTTAATTTATCAAAGAGTGTTGAATATTATAGAAGTTAAGACCTCTTGGTAAATGTTATCATTGGCTATAAAAAGAAGTGGCTTGTGCTTAGAACACTTTTCACTTAATCAAAGACTTGTCCCAGTAAAATTAACTGTACTGCAAAAGGAACTAGACTATTACAAATCTGAGAAAACAGGGGAAATGATCAACTGAAACAAAGAAGACATATTTGCATGCTGCCTAGCTTAAATTAGATATGAAAGGAGGGGAAACAAAAAGGTGTAGAGACAGGGAAAATGGGGAGGAATGTATTATGTTGGGGAAAATGAGGTGAACAGCTGGCAGATCATTTCGATAGCCTGTATTTTGGAGCTGCAAACATATTTGCTCGTACCGAGTACTGCATTTTTCATCATTTTTGCTGATGGAATTGACTCCTCTTCCTCCACAATATATATATATTGCAGGTTATTTATTGCTGCCTGGCAAATACCTGTTAAATACATTATTAGTAGCCAGCAAGAAAGCTTTAACAGGAAAATCGAGACAGGTCAAAACGACTGCCTGGAAAGATGTTCTGATTTAAATTTGAAGAGACATACATTTTTGCTACTTCTATGAATTTAATGAATTTGTGCAATACTATGTTTATTTAGACAGGATGATTATTGATGTGTTACTATATAAACTTTATCAATATAATGATTGTATGAATGCAAAGGTGACCACTCGTTTATTATACTAGTTTTTTTTGTATTGCATTTCAATGCTCCTTTAAAGTTTAAAGGATAAAAAAGAGGGGGAATGTAATTTCTCTTGGTCAGGACTTGAACTGCTGGGATGGTTGAATGCATGTGTTATGAAAGCAGTCTAAAACGTGGTAAGTGGTTTTCAATTGTGTTCTTCAACTGTCTAAGCTTAAAGGTGGGGTATGTCATTTTGGAGAAACCAGCTCGAGTGCGCTAGAATTTGAAAATACACAACCGGAAAAAATCTGCCACTTCCTTACAGAGCCCCTCCTCCAACACACATGACCAATGAGGGCACGAGATAAGTTTGTGCACAGATGGAAGGCTGACAGGCAGGTAGGCCATCCAGTTATTTTAGCCGGGCCGGCTAAAATTATTGGTCGTGCTTTTTACAGCGCTACGGCTTCCACAGATTACATTTTTTTATGTATTTATTGTCAAAGCATTTAATATATTCATTGCTATCGGGATGTTAAGAGCATTCCATGGAATATAACAAAAAGTGTTTCTGAAATAAATTGCATACCCCACATTTAATAGCATAGTAGCATAAGTTCAAGGGGCCCTTTTTTGCTTTTTGGGGTTTTCCCTTTCCCGTATAGTGTTATAGGTGTTGGTGCAGGTAAATGGTCTGCAAAGGCTGAAATCCCAAAGTTCCCTAACCCTAACCCTAACCCTATCCACTCAAACCCATTGTACGTTAGGGGTGTAACGGTATCCGTATTCGTTCCGAACCGTCACGGTTCGGACGTCACGGTTCGGACGTCACGGTTCAGCACATGCAGTCACACCACGAATACGCCTTTTTTTATGAGTGGGAAAAAAGTCTGTCACTGACTCAGGGCAGTATCCATTACACTATATATAATCCAGGGGGCGGTATTGCGCCTAAAAGCTGTTTGCCAGCCGCCCTTAAACAACAAATGAAGAACAAGAAGAAAACACAACAAAACGAACAAAATACAAGAAGAAGAAAAGTTAGTATTGCGAGTTCAGATAACTCACAGGAGCTCGAAGACCCACCTGCTTCTTTTAAATCAGCTGTGTGGGAACATTTCGGGTTCCCTGTGGACTACAACAACGATGGAGTACGAGTGGTGGATCGGACGAGGACGGTGTGTCGGCGTTGTTAGACAGCGGTGCGGTATGCTAATGGTAATGCTAACACACGCCACACATGCTAAATCATATCTGAAGGCATCACCCAGATTTGCCAATCACCGGAGCCCGGCAAAAGACAACAGCAGTTCAACAGCTTATCCCCGCTGTTTTTAAGTTTTTAAGAAGACCAAAAGAAATAACGGAAGCTATTGGCATATATATATTTCAACGGCAATGCGCCCTTGAAACACTTTCTTATTATTTATTTTGTAATATTTTCAAGACATTCTTTTTAGTTTTACAGCTTGATGAAACCTTTTTGTTTGACATCAGCCATTATAGATAATATGGCCATCTGAGTGTGTGTGGTACTGTTTGTGGTTTGTTTTGAACTTTGAAATACAGCTAATTATTCAAAATGTTAGAGTTCCTTATTTTTATACTGAAACTTGCACTACTGTTCAAAAATAAATAACAACAAACCTGGAATTATGCATTTGGGACTTTTTTTTGCTTTTTCTTGTTGTACCGAACACATACCGAACCGTGACCCCCAAACCAAGGTACGTACCGAACCGTGAATTCTGTGAACCGTTACACCCCTATTGTACGTGATAGGTTAAGTGGCGGGACAACTCTAAGCGAACCAACCAATCAACAGTCAGGCAAGCAGGCAGTTTGAGAAAAATAAAGCACTTTTTGAACATTAAAACATGAGAACATGTCACAGTAGAGGCTCAAAATACAAATATAAACCTGAAAATGAGCATAATAGGGCCCCTTTAATGAAGATTAAGCAAAGATTAAATGTGATCTACTAATACTGAGCAGAGGATATAAAGATAAAACCCACACATACTTTGTACAATTGTACCTTTTGTGACAAAAATAAAAAAAGACAGCAACAGGGCATGACCACTGAGGTGAATACTGGAGAGTAGGTGTAATAAAGACAGGCATGAAGGGAAATGAAAGCCTTTGTGTAAATGGAAAGATACTGTAATGAGATGATGTGGGTGAGAAGAAAAATATGGCCATAACCATTGCAGCAGAATATTACAGCAAGAAAACAGCAGTACACAATCAAAAATTGTGTTTCTAAATGAGAACAGTAAGTAATCCATCCTCCACCATATCTTTAGATTGGACAACATCACTGCTATAAAATGGAAAAGCATGATACTCTGTCATGCAAACCTTAATCAAAAGTAAAGGTGTTTCTCACCGTGGCAGGCGACGCCACCTCCAGGTCCATGGGCTCAAAGATGAGGCTCATTTGCGGTGACATCTGAATGATCTCGCCGCTCATCAGACACAGCTTCTTGTTGTCGTCGAGCACCGTGTTCATGTTCTCGATCCACACCGCATCCACCGGGCCGTCAAAGATAAGCCATTTTCTGTCGGGGCTCTGAGAGAAGCAAGAAAAAAATAATTTCTTACACCTTGAAGGAACATTTTCATTTATATCACAATTACATGTGCTATTACATGCTCGACATAGCTGGCTTTATATGGGAATACGTTTCAGGATTTATTCCATATTGTAGATATCGGACATCAGTATTCTTCACTACTTGAATTAGTTAAAGCCAATATGAATATTTGATAACTTGTGTGATTGTAAGTTGACTTGTTAAGTAGTGGGGCTTAAAATGTTTACTAGTTAAATTAACAGTGAAGTGCCACAACGATCAAACATGTCAACTAATATAATTTTTTCACATCACTAGAACTATATAGGTCAATAAAATGTTTGCCTTGATTAGTTAACAAGTAGGAGGAAGTGTGGGTAATTATCTTAACAGTACGGTCCACATGACCAACTAGTTGAATTAGAGGACATTTTGGCCATTACTTATAAGGTCACAATTGACCCCAACTAGTTAGGAGAAAATGTAATGAACCAGTTTAAAAATGAACCCAACAGGTGTAACTATTAGACATTTTAGCGCAGCAGTTGTGGAAGAAGTACTTTTATTAGGTAAGTATACAACCCTGTAGAATTACTTTGTTACAAGTAAAAGTCTAGAATTCTAAATGTAGCTAAAGTCAAAGTCAAAGCATCAACATATTCTTAAAGTACCAAAACAAGTACGTTCTATGAAGAATGGAGATTTCCGGGTATATACTAATTATGTTATATACATGTAGAGAGTAAAAAGTACCATATTTGCTTCAATAATGTAGTGGAGTAGAGGTTTAAAGCACCATACAATTTAAAACGTGAGCACTTTGACACTTGACTCATCAAGGATTTGGAATAAAGTTTAGCTGGCTTTCCACAGCCTTTGGAGTTTAACAGATGGAAGAAGGCTCTAGCAGACAGACAGATGGACGGACCTTTAAACCCTGGGGTGGCTTTTCACTTCAAGTAAAAGACAGGCTGAATATACAGAAGGTTGGCCCCCGCAGTGGTAGAATATACAACATTTCTGAAGTACTCATGGAGCTTCAAAGTACAAAAAATAACTTGTTTTTATATCCTTTAATAATATGCACACACTATATTCATTTATTGCACAAACACAAATCCCTGTGCAGACTTCCAAGGTCATGGAAGAACTCCTAAGCATTGTAGTGAAAGAATGTCTGCAAAAACGAATGAAATTAGCACCCAGACTGGCATAATGGATGTTGACAACAAGCGTCAGATCTCCAGTTAAATGGGCTGGCAGGAGCTGTGCTTTAAATTGATTTGTTGTAATATAAACAAATGGAAGATGCCTGTGTTGGGGCCATCTGGTGCTTGTGAGGGAAGTGAGTATACTGTAATGTAATGATCTGACAGAGCGTTGGCACTGGGGAAAAAACAAACCTCATTGTATGCGCGGTGAGTTTAACACACAGCACTGCTGCTGATTCCAGATTAGCACAGTAAAAATTAGGTTTAGTAAAATGTGATGCGAGGAACAAAAAGGAACACTCGCCCAGAGGAAAACTACTTTCTAAACTGAATTAAAACAAGCCGCTTTCTCGTTTTCTATTTTCATTGCATCAGTGTGTACTGCCTCGGCCGTCACATCCAATCCCAACAGTCCTTATTCATTGACAACAATAATGAGACATTTGTAAAATGACAACTACATATACGGAGCCAATTTTTTTAATGACATGTTCATTTGGAATCAATGTGAGAATAGAGCGAACAAATGATTTTCCATTATGACGTGCCTTCACTGCCATCATGTAAAATGCTTGCCCATGTGTGTCTTTTTTTATTTGTTTACCCTGTCGAGGAAGACTCTCTTTCTACCAGCCTGAAATGAATTGTAATGTCAGGCCTTTTGTATGATGATCCGACTTAAACTCTGAAGACTGAGTAGACGATAACGGATGTAATTACCTTCTTCTTATTGCACAGCTTTATGCAACATCCAACATGTGTTGCACCACATTCAAATGTATTACAACATGACTAACCCTTGTGCCGCACTTTAAAAAGAGAGTACAACAATGTCAAAATCTTAAAACTGTTACGCATTTATATATTTATATAATTTTCCACATTTACTTTTTACCACTTAACTAACAAATACTCATTTCTTTTTAGAATTTGTTTGTACTTTGTGCCTCTACTGTGACATGTTTACATGCTTTAATATGAAAAAAGTGCTTAATTTTCATACTGCCTGTGCTACAGCACCTCTTTTCACCCTCTGTCTGAAACCAGAGCCCAGTCTGCATTCAGAGTTAAACTGATAACTCATATCCAACTATTTTAGCATAGAAGTGTAGCAATATCCACACAAATATAACACAGTAGGGACAATTTATAAATAGAATAGGTAGAGATACAATATGACATCCAGTATTGGTCAATCCAAAACATTTATTAGCAGTAATGACAGTTTGGATCATGGTGTCACATTTGTAGCCTAAAATGTTCATATAGTAGCCAATTGTTTTATACCCAAATCATTTTTACGTTTGGGATATGTTAAGGTTGTTTTGTTCCTCTATTCATCATTCATTCTAACCCACTAACAGACGCACATGTATTTAAAATAATGATGATGCCTTTTCGAGTCAAAGTAATTGCTTTGTTAAAAAACATGTTTTTAATTAATGACCCCATAATTGTCAGAGGAAATGTCAATATTTATATATATTGTGTTTGGAACATAGAGTTTGACTAGCTGACACAGGAGCATCAGAATCTCCTGTATGATGTCAGAAGCCCAGTTTGACATATCAGAATACTAGAAGCTCACATCAAACTGTGACCCAGCTGTTCCTCAACGACAGCTGGAGGTGTGATAGACACTTCACTGCATGAGACAACATCTTTAGATAATGTTTACGTCCCCCCTACAGCTGAACTTCTTTTACTGAGACAAATTCTGCCACGTTTGAGGGAATACTGTATTTGTCATTGTCATTTTTAGATGAAAAATACGTCAAAATATAGTTAATTGTTATGTTTAATCCTATTTTAGACAATAATCTGGAGTTCCGGCAACATGTAACATCAACAACACATGTACTACTAACAAAGAAGAGAAGGCACGACATGGCTTATTACTTAGCTCAATAACAAAATTATGTGCTACGTTATTTTTTACCCCTTTATTCAAGATTTTCTAGCCCAAAGCACCTTTTAACTTACCCAAGGCAAACGAGCAGTCCATATTGTTTAGCTAAAGTGTTGTGCATGAGCTAAATATCAGCTCTCAGAGGAGCTCTGTGTGTTTTGTTGGCAGCCTGTATAAACAGAGAGCAGTTTCCCTGGCATAGACCAGAGGCCTGTACTACGAAGCCGGATTTCTGGTCCTACGACGCTGGTTCTCTTTTTAGCAGGCTAGATCTCCATGGTAACTTATGCTGAGTGGCTAACCTGCTCCGGAGCAGGTTAGGTTGCAGGCTAAGAGATCAACTCAGTGAAAGCACCGCCTGCTGACCAATCAGAGCTCCATGTGCGGAGTTTAAAGCGATCAAGTCATATTACAGGATAGAGGAAGTACAGAAAAACTGCCGTTGCAGGAAAGACGGCCGGCAAAAATCAACTGACTGTGTGAACGTGAATATTTATAGAATATCCCCTCCCATCTTCAGAGCAATCTGACTATTATAACATTAGCGTTAAGAAAGCTTACTTAAATATCTGCCACAACATAAGTAACCGGATCAGAATAACATTAAGTACAGTCCGCGGCACTGTGAGTGCAGACGTCGATGTGTCCCATTATCATTCATATCATATCACATCATAATGTATCATATATTTCCTTATTTGAGCCGTATCTGGCCGTGCAACACTCACAGTGTCACATACAGTACTGTATGCAGAAGTATTATTTTAAGCAACACATTAAGTTGACGAAACACTCGAGTCAAATGTAATTAAAGTCAGATCCACTCGTGTTTTAGACGGGGCAGCAGTGATATCATAAACTTGTTAATGTACGCATTCAAACGCTTTTTCTTTTACCAGCTGTATTCACCTTGCAGGTGCAGCTATGTGGCTTTTATCCTGGATAAAGTGTTTAAGTCATGGATGTTTAAAGTTTAACGTCTTCATATTTGTCTAATATTAAAGTTTACTTTTCATTCAGGAAGTATGACGCTGCGCTGTCAGTACGCTTGTCCATGTTTGTGATTGGTCGAATGCTCCAAATACCACCCCTTTCATGTGAACGCGCACCTAACTAGATAGGACACGGTTGGCTTGAGCGATCCACTTGATAACCAGCATCGTAGTACAGCTTAGCGAGAGCGCGTATGTTTTGGATTGGGCCAACCGGCTAACTCAAACATATCCAGGTTAGGTTGAACCAGCTTCGTAGTACAGGCCTCAGGAGAAATGAAATCCCTCATCAAGGACTTCTGTAGGGGCACGCCTGGCTAAGGGGCCCAAATGTAAGGGCCCTATCCTGGCCTTCACCTGCAAATGATTAGGCAAAAAGACTTGTACCAACCTTGAAGAGTCTCACAATGTCTCTGAAAATATTGCCAAACTGTTGTTGTTGTAGCTGACCGGGAACCTACAAGCGGCTCAGCATAGTGTGAATGACTACCAAACAAACTCGCTTTTTGTGCTAATCACAGCATGAACAGCGGTGGGACGCAACACAATTTGTGGTTGTGCATTATGGTAACTCAATACGCCATGGATTCTTGAAAAACCCCAAAACATGTTCCCTTCTTTGAGCAGATTAAACAACATTGTAAAATTTTTCCCAACTGGATTTGGGCACAAAATCATAGTTTCAGTCAAGGTTAACATTTACGCTAGTATTGAGGAAAATAAATGGTATTAAGTACATGGAAAGCCATGGGATCCAATAGGGAGATGTAACATCGGTTGGTTATTTGTCTCTATATCAGTGTTTGTGAAATATCATGCAAATATGTAAATTTGACCACATTGTGCAATTATACTGGATTTGGAGGGCTCTGTATACAAAAGAGGAACAGGCGGTGTGTGACTAACCCTGCACGGATCCAGGATGATGACATGTTAATCTTCATGAGGGTCTGAAGGAGCATGTAGATACATCTGCATGCTCCTGCATTAGTTAGACAATACTTTGTGTGTTTGACTCTGAGGAGCCATTTTACCTGGGAGGAAGCAAAGGATTTGTAGCTGATGGCGAGGATGCCGTCGGACCACTCGTGAGAGATGGGGTCGAAGTTGCCGTACAGCTGGCCCATGGTGATGGATTTGGGATTAATAACAGTGATCTGCACCTGGTTCTCATCCATCAAACCCTGGTTTAACAGCAACATACATACAAGCACACAACAGAAATACAGATTAGGCCAATACATAGTGTATCAACTCAAGAAAAAAGGACAGAAAGGCCAACAGTATATTCGATATTCTATTTTTAAATTAAAAGAAATTAAGAGATTTAATAACCGAGATTAAAGTCACACATTTACAAGCAAAGAACCTTTCAAGGACACATTTCCATAGAAACCTTTAATTAAATGAATTTATAAGACCCCTAATTGCCTGCCACTGAACGCTGTTAAGTAGTTCAGTGTTTTTTCTATGTGTAATTTGTAAACTGCTTTTTTTTTTTTACGTCTAGCAGTTTGTTCAATGTCTGTTTTTATGTTTTTATTTTGAAACATTACGGTGCTGTCTTGGCTAGGACCCCTTTTCGCAAGAGTTTCTGAATCTCAAAAGAAATACTCCTGGTTTAATGGAGGTTTAAAAAGTAATGATTAAAAATAATCTGGACTTTGGAGAGACATTGCTGTGAATTGGGCGTATTAGGAATAAAACAACTGATTTGAGATAAGATATGAACTATCTCATCAGAAACTACAACGCAATGGCTAGATGAGGTGGGATACACATGAAAAACACAAAAGATTCCCAGTATTTTTTTTATTGACTTTTCTCTTATAGCTCTGTCTATGATAATAAGTGAGTTACATTTACTGCTTACACCTTGGTTTTCTTCTCAGAATATTATCCCCTCACGCTACAATAGCCCTTATACATAGTGTACACATACAAAAATACACATGACAATTCTTTACTTCACACACAAAGAAGAAGCAAAATAAATCTCGACAGGCCATGCATTTCACCAACTTGTCTCCACCAGGATCCACAAACTGTTTAGAAGCTGTCTGACAAGACTTCTGCTAACTGAGGAACAAAAGCAAAAAGGCAACAAACGGCTTGCAAGACAATGTGTCACATTGAGTTAGAAACTATGAGAAAAACAAGCAGCCGAATAAAAGAACAACAAACCAGGAGAGAAAGGGGAAGTGGAGGGGGGGTTAGACATGATCAGTGGATGTGCAGCAACAGCGCTGACGATGATAGATGTGGCGTTCCCAGTCGCTCCATCAGCGGGCCTTCATCTGTCTCAGTGGTGGGATGCCTCTCAGCCCCCTCAGCCTCTCAGCCATGTAAATACAACAAGCCAGTTCTGCTCCTCTCCCTGAGATCGATAACTACTAAACAAAGACTACAGCGCTGACAAATTGGATGGATGTGTTTACTTGTGTAGCTCAGATAAGCCTTGGATATTGAGTGTATCACATATTTTTACTTGACGTTGAAAGTTTCTATTATCATTTTGTTTTACTGATCGAGCAAGATCGTGTCCCAAGGACTTTGGAAACAACGTTTAAACTTGTGATAAAATACAATTAAAGAATGCATGGTTAACCATTTGAAAATATTGCTTTTTGTCTCAAATATTTTGACAAATTGACCAGGTTAATACCTGACAGGAACATAATGAATACATTGGACCTCAAGGACAACTACAGGAAATGCAACCAGGAGAATAAATGGGTTTAAAGAAGCTATTGATCAACAATTAGTGCCACGTAAGGAGTCATGAATTATAGCAGGCTGATAAAAAACTTGCGGCCACTTTTCTCCACTCGTGCTGACATGATCCTAATGAATAATTCCCAATTTCTTAGCAGTTAGTAAATCCAGCTTTTATTCTCTTAATAATTTTTTTCAACTGGTTATATTTGAAGTGGTAAAAATTGTATTTTACAACCTGGCTGCTTGTTTTTGTGTCTACAGTAAGTGGCTATTGAGGACAGTGATATCATTCCAGGATTGAAGGAGAGGGCTGAAGCCAGAAGCTGCAACACGTGAGCAATGTGTTCCTGTGCGTATTTAATGCATGTCCACCATAAGTGCTTGTTTTTTGCCACTAAGAGGCTCAAATTGTTATTAAAGAGTCTGACAGCATTATGGAAAGAAAGCTAGAGAGAAATCATTGAAATGTTTTGTTTTATTTTGTTGTTAGAGTTTGTGTGTTATCGTGTCTGACCAAGTCTCGCTCTTGTTCTGAAATCACACGAGAAGTGACTTATTGTCAGAAGACAAGGGTGGAAACCTAAGTGACAGTTGGCCTAGCTTAGTGTTGACCTACAGATGTTCAATGTCCCAGCAGTACATGTAGCTGATTCTGGCAATGTGAAAGAGGCCTTACCTTTTCACAACATTTCAGAAAGATACTTTTTCTTGAAGGAAACGGTTAGACACAATACCAGGTAGTCCAGATCATGCAAAAGATAAATATAATGTATTTATTTCTCTTTAGCTTCCTTTCCATAATGTTGTCATACACTTATAAAAGCAATCTAAGCCAGTCAGTTACAAAAAAAAGATATTTTAGTGGAAGTACATATAAAGAATACAGTTGCGTGAAGCATCATGTTGAAGCCAGTTTCCCAGCAGTAGTTTGGAGCATTCTAGCTCTATACTGAACCAATTATTTTAATGTATTTCCTCCACAGGTGCCTTAAACACTAAAAAGTTACAAAATAGGTTCCAGTTTAAACACCAAGAGTACCCTTTAAACACGACATCCTACCTTTTCATAGACATCGTGAAGGGCTGCCGCCAGCACACGATAGGCGCAGGTCTTTCCTCCGAAGGGCTCGCCCACCACCATGAAGCCGTGCCTCACTATCATCATTTCAAAGATCTGTAGGATTTTCTCAGCAAAGAACTCTGTGACTTGCAGGTTCATGCGCTGGCAGTTTTCCTCGATGGCCTCTATCAGAATCTTGTAGTCTCGTGTTGGAAGCTGGACCCCCGGGAAGAGGTCAGACGTGATACCCTGAGGTGGAAAGGGAGTAAGGGAGGAATCTCGGAATGAAATGAGGAAAGTCATACAATGGAAATGGTAAATTCGTCTGTTACATTAGTTATCATAATAAAGAGGTTTTGAGTACATTTATTGCATTATGTCCGATACATAAACTCTAAGTGAGGCTAAATATTGCAATTTTTTCAAATTAAAGGTTAGTGTTTTTAAAATCAATACCGTATAACAAAACATAATATTGCAATACAGAACTGTAGTGATATTTTCTTACATCCCTAAAGTGTGGGGTAAGGACACATTCAGAAACTCATTCTCTCACACACAGACTACAGTGAACTCTTCTGAGCCAAACAGACATGAATTGTCCTTGTGCTTTGTGGCTGCGAATGAACTGAGTGGAATTAACTCGGGCTGGCATCACTCGATGTGTATCGCTCCAATAATCTGGACAGGAGGAGCTCCACTGTGTCACACCTCAAACAGCTTCAGATCATGGGACAGGAACTTGGGCAGATTGACATCAATAATGGATCTCAGCAGCAGGGTGTCTTCATTCTCTTCGGGATAAGTGAGCTACAGTGCCAAAAAACCAAGAAGAAGAGGAGAAGAATGAGATGTAATGAGAAGCAGTTGTATGGTGGAGCTTTATGAAGGAGTGTCACTGAACAAGTATGTGTGAGCAACATTACAATCATCACAGTTTTTTTATTTATTTCACCTTTATTTTACCAGGTCTCATTGAGATTCAAAATGTCTCTTTTTCAAGAGAGTCCTGACCTGTTTGAATGTAACTTAGTACATTTACTCAGGTACTGTTCTTAAGTATAATTTTGAGCTACTTGTACTTTATTTGAGTATTGAAGGGGCCCTATTATGCTCATTTTCAGATTTCATATTTGCATTTTGTTCCTCGACTGTGACATATTTCTATGCTTTAATGTTCAAAAAGCTCTTTAGTTTTCTCATACTGCCTGTGCTGCAGCACCTCTTTTCATCCTCTGTCTGAAACCAGAGCCCTGTCTGCTGTGATTGGTTAACTTGCTAGATCTGTTGTGATTGCCACAAACTGTTCTGTCTGCTGCCGTCTGGCAGGCGGTACTGCAGCATCCGGACTAAAACCACCAGACTCAGGGACAGTTTCATCCCACAGGCCATAAGACTGTTAAACACCTGAACTTTGAAACAATATCCATAACATTCATCTGGCTGCTACTTAGAAATTATTTATCTAATATGTCATATTGCAATAACTTGTATATAGACTCTTATTGCACTATTTCACTTTTTTTACTATTTTTCTTTTTGTATTTATTATTTACTTGCACTATTTTTTTCTGTTTTTCTGTTTTATTGTGTTGCACTGTTGGAGGAGCCTGTGACCTAAGATGTTCATCGTCATAACTACACTGTAGCTATGTTCATATGACCAATAAAAGCCTTGAACCTTGATTGGTCAACTGGTTAGAGATGTCCCGCCCCTATCACGTACAGTCGGTTGGATCGCTAGCCAATAGAAGAGCGAGTGTAACATAGTGATGTCACTATGTTACGGACGTAACAGTATGGGAGAGAAACTTCTTCTGGAGGGAACTTGGGGATTTTTCCTTTGCAGACCATTTACATGCACAAATACCTATGTAACACACTAATAAAAGGGAAAGAAAACGCATACTATGGCCTCTTTAAATGAGAATGTTAAGACATGAGGGATCAGAGTTTTTATCCATCACTGCCAATCAAAACCAATTGATGTAAAGAAGCGATTGATCAGCAAACAGGGGTGAAAAAAGTCTGTTTCCCAAAGCAACATTTAAAAAGGCAACATGCTTATAGTCTTAAAAAAGTTTGTCTACTTTATATAGCACTGGGTTGAAAGAAAACTCTAGCGCAAATAAACTTCTTCTGCATTAGAGGTGGAAACACATCTATTTTAAAGATGAGGCAAGACATCTAGCTTTGTGTATATTTGCATTTTAACTTGCTCAGCACTTTCATCAACATAGATTACACATAGTAAATAAATCAGGGACTGTTTTTACATTTGTCTTCTAGTTAGATGATCAAAGATTGCTCTACTTGGTGTCAAATGTGCTTACCAAAAAATAAATAACCATTAAATCATCTTAAAAAAGGTTGAAAAGAAGCATATGGGACAATTTATGCACTTATACACCAATGAACAAAATGCAGATTTGATATTTTTATAGAAATATCTTTATTTTAATTTATTTTACCTTTTATTGGCAATGTTCATTAAAGGTGGGGTAGGTAATTTTGGAGAAACCAGCTCGAGTGCGCTAGAATTTGAAAATACACAACCGGAAAAAATCTGCCACTACGGACTTACAACTTTTGCATGGCATTTAAATAAATGAACACAAACAAAACCAACAGGCGTGCGGATGTGTGCGGTCAAAAACTTTAAAACTTCTCTTACACCAATATAAATATCTTTATACTATTTGATTTATTGTTTTATTTTTTCATTGCATTCTTACTTTAACTTCTTATGTTAGTATAAATATTTGTATTGTATTTTGTAAATTTGTATTTATCATTTTATTTTTATTCTAAAATATAGCAGCTGTAATGAAACACAATTTCCCCTGGGAAAAATAAAGTATCTTGATTCTGATTCTGATTTGAACCTGAATTGTTTTGGGGGAAAATGAACCAAAAAATTGCGTCATATTAAAAAAAGTTCTGTGTGGCGATACCTTGAGGTTTCCAGCAGCAGTGAGCACAGACTTGACGGCCCTCATCCCGTAGTCGTAGTGATGCTGCATGGACAGCTGCTCCGAACAGAGGCGATATGTAGCCACGATTTTCACCGACAGGGGCCGCGCGGTCACAAAGCCACACGAGTACAGCACGATCTCTGCGATCATTGCGTAGTCTGGTACCATCATGGCCACGGTCCTGAACAGAGCCTGGAGTCAAGAAAGAAAACATTTTTTATTTGTTATGATTTATTTTAGCCATTTTTATGTAAGAGACACTTGAGTGACTGATGGTTTAAATACGGTACAGTCAATATTTTTGACATGTTACATCATTTTCATTTAATCAAAACAAAAAAAATTAAAGTTACAAAATACAAAAGAAAGGTAAACAACTGTAAAAAAAAAAGTGTCATCACAGATAATTGCATCGCTACTTACACAAGTATGTACATACTTGCCAAACACACACGATAGTGCCTTACAATGGAGGGATGCAGGGTGATTTTGTGGCTCCTCCATCTAATGTGCTCCATATTACGTGAAATTGTTTTTCTTTGTTGCCGTTAGAATGCGGATTTTCCATTTGTTATTTCAACTCCTCAATAATGTAACTCCCTCAAACCTTTATGCTCCAGAATCCCCAGTTTGGAGATCTAAAACAGCAGGGATGTCTGAGGCTGTACCTTGAGATTGTCCGGTAGCTCAGAGCGTCCAGCGTATCCGGGGTTCATGGTGATGAACACAGCGCAGGAGGGGTTCAGCCTCAGCTCGCTCCCTTCAAACTGCAGTATCTCAGCGTGGGAAGTAATTCCTGGACACATAGATACAGTATGTTTTTCATCGTCCTTTGTGCCTTTTGACTCTTATGAAGACAGTTGAACCCACTTAGTTTTGACTGCACTTGGCTAAAAAGAAGAAGAAAAAAAAGTCACTCCCACCTCGCAATCTCGATTCGTACGAAATCTGAGAAAGAGTTTGAGAAACTGTTGTATGTAAACTAAGCTTACCTTGATGATGAGATACTAAAAGTTGCATTTTATTTGTAGATTGGGTCGGAATTAGATTCTCTCTGATGACAAACACAGATACACACTGTAGTAATATTATTTAGTGACATCCGATGCAGGGGTGCTGCTTTGGCTGTGTTTTTGTTAATTGTCAGTAATTAGACACAGTGAGGTTCATTAGTTTAAGTCCTCCGTCTTTTGTATTTTTTTCTTGTTTTAAACCGAAGCCATCAGGCCCTTTGTTTTTTGTTTATCAGAGCACTGTTGTTTTGTATCCTTTTAGTTCATATATCTTTATTATACCACTAACATCTGGTCTTGTGTTGCTCCCCTATGCCTGTAACAAGCAGGGGCGTAACTCCCTCTATAAACATTCTGTCCAGGAACAAACTCCAGGTATAAAAACAACTGTGATAAAAAGGTGTCAGCGGCAGTCAAGCAAGAGAAAACCTAATAGCATTTTCAAACTTCTGTATTGGGCCAAAGAAAATCTATATCCCCCTTTTGGCTCTTGCATCTTATGACACAAGACTTTCGTTGCCCGCAGCACACACACTGGAGGACACACTGCTGTGCTGCGTTCAACAAAGCTGTGCTTGAAGTTTTGCTGGCCAGCCTACACAAATTGCCTCGGTTGCTTTTTGCAGCTCTTTGTTGTCTAAAAACTGTTTTGTATTTCACTGGTGATTCTGGGATACTGCAGGCTTTTGGATGTAAAATAAAACAGCACAAACCTCTCTGAATGGTGAGAATCTGTTGAGCCACCACAGACAGCACCTCCAAGTCGATGCGGTTAAACTCATCAAAGCAGGCCCAAGCTCCGCAGGACAAAAGGCCCTGGAGAGAGAGAGAGAGAGACACACACACACACACACACACACACACACACACACACACACACACACACACACACACACACACACACACACACACACACACACACACACACACACACACACACACACACACACACACACACACACACACACACACACACACACACACACACACACACACACAGCAGGTGGGAGGACATTTCAGCATGGCTTAAGCAAATTCAGTGTAAACAAATGGGATTTATTTTCTGCCAGTGTGACATTCGTAACATACACAAAACTATAATCACATTACAATGATCAACTACATTAGTAAGCTTTTTCTTTTTTAGAAAGGACAGATCTTAATATCCTACGGTTCTTACAACAGGAAGTTGTGAAAAGAGCAATGTACATGAGTAACTGCTTGTATATATTTTTCCTAATAAAAGGGGAACATAATTGCACTACAATGATGCATTATATTTGTAAGGTGTCTAGACACTGACACTTAAGTGTCTGTATGCCATTCTGGTACATTTCTGGAAATATGAATGGAAGGGAAATGAAGTCACTGCCTGTGTCACTTACTGTGGTGGATGGTTGGGTAAAAGAAATCAAAGAGGCAGCTGTTCATCTCCAGTGTAAAACAACAATTCAACTTCAAGTTTTTTAAATTAGTTAAAGGTCACCTATTATGCAAAACCCACTTTTTCCTGTCTTTTATACATAAACATGTGTCCCTTCTGTGGAAAGAGATTCTGAAAGTTTCAGGAAAAAGGATTCTCTCTCTTTTTGTCCTGATCCATTTATATAAAAACCTGTCTGAAAATGAGATTTTGGCCACTTTATGATGTCATAACGATTTTTTGGCTTGTGTAACTATTAGCCAATCACCAACCAAGGTAACCAAAAAATTGTCGGTCTAGAAGCAAGACTCTAGAGCTAAGAGGCGGCGTCGCTTACGTCTCTCTTACGTCGAGGCATGCAGTAAACTAAACCCACCTCCCCTGAACATGGGTCGACTGAAGAGTCTCGTCATGCCTGCCTACAAGAAGTAGCGCTGAGCAAAGTGACTAGAAGGCAACCACACACTTATGAAAAAAAAAACACACTTTATAAAGTCAGGCAACACTAACCAGGCTTCGTGTGATTCTGTTTATTTGTACCTTACTTTGACCATCCGTTCGCTGTTATTGATCATTGTGGAGAGCAGGCAGACGTTTTGTTTTGTATTATAGCAGCTATCGGATGGAATCAATACATGGGCTGCACAGGTTGTCATGTCCGACTATCACAAGTAGAATCATAATGAAAAATACGCCGGTAAAATGTGCCTGTAGAAAACGGCTTATACCACAATAGGATAGCAATAGCAAGTAGTCAGTTTAGCTTCGGTTGCTATGCTAACATCAACCATTTTATACCAGAGAAACTTTCATAACAGCGGTGTGATGCCAAACAGCATCAATTCAGACTGACACACATTCACTTAAGGGGAACTGTATGGGCTCAGAACAGTCTCATAATACACACATGCACACAGAAGGATTCACACTTGTATTTCATGATCCGCAAAAGGATTCACACTTGTATTTCCGGATCCACACTTGTGTTTGTCAATGCACACACAAATGTGTTCCGTTTCATATACATGTAAATAAAATCCAAATACAGAAAAAAGTTTTACATATGTATTTTTGATCCTCACATATTTGTTTTCCGTTTAAAACCGCTGCACCTGCAAACACAAACCGCTTTCTGTGCATGGATCGCTCTGCATTCGTGTGTGGGTTTTTTGAGACTCCCCTGACGGTGACCCGATTCGTACTTGTAATTTTTTCTATCTATAGCCAATCAGATGTCTCCTCAATTCTAAGCCAATCACATGAGCGCGCCCCCACAAGGGTAGATTTCTTGCGTTCATGACGTAGCGCTTCATGTACGCATTTTGCGCTGTCCGGAGCTGACAGGTCCATGGAGCCTGCCTGCAGGCGCTAATCTCAGGACACCTCCACTCTCAGTACATTGCCACTTTCCGATCAGGAAATGCACGCAAATACAAGCCTTTATATTATTAAGGTACAGTGCCACTTTCCGAACCATTAATGAATGCTTGTGTACACAAAAACGGCAGGCAAAACTGTTTTAAATGTGTGTTTCCTGTATGGCGATCAGCTGCTTTATTTATGTCTGTATGAAGTTGTTGTGAGTGTGGAGGGAGCAGCTACAGGTTAGTTTAGCCTAATCGATCAGTGCACTACGAAGCCAGTGCTAGACAGTGAACTGTCAACGGGGGGAGCCCCGCCGGTCATTATCGGCCGATATTCACTCTTAATAGTTTGATCGGTGCTCTCTATAAAGGCCGATCAGGAGAGGTGGATCTGATCGATATGGACATAAACGCGAGTGAAGTTTTAGCGAGCTGCATGAGAAACTGACGGGCTGTCAGGAGAGAGGGAGGGAGAGAGGAAAAGAGATGATCCTTACTCCCGTGTTATTATCCGGTCATAGTCCGGTAATTCCCTAACGGAAACGCTGCTACACAATTCTTATTATTATTATTATTGAAACATGACCGGTAAGTTTCAAATTTGTCCGGTAAAATTAAATTCTGTCCGCGGAAACCCAGCTCCGGACTACGCAAAATGCGTATATGAAGTGACATGAACGCAAGAAATCTACCCTCGTGGGGGCGCGCTCATGTGATTGGCTTAGAATTGAGGAGACATCTGATTGGCTATAGATAGAAAAAATTACAAGTACGAATCGGGTGACCGTCAGGGGAGTCTCAAAAAACCCACACACGAATGCAGAGCGATCCATGCACAGAAAGCGGTTTGTGTTTGTAGGTTCAGGGGATTTAAACGGAAAACAAATATGTGAGGATCAAAAATACATATGTAAAACTTTTTTCTGTATTTGGATTTTATTTACATGTATATGAAACGGAACACATTTGTGTGTGCATTGAAAAACACAAGTGTGGATCCGGAAATACAAGTGTGAATCATTTTGTGGATCATGAAATACAAGTGTGAATCCTTCTGTGTGCATGTGTGTATTATGAGACTGTTCTGAGCCCATAGAACTGGGGATATGTATCAGCTGCTTGTGTGACAGTCAGACAGTGAATACTTTAGAGCGGCCGCTGCCATGTGAGCTAACCCGGAGCTAACGGGAGAATAAACTCCCGTGGAAGAGCAGCCAGCACTGCAGCGGTCGGTAAATGCCGCTGAAACACATTAATAAACAATGAACCACGGCACTCTGGAGAAAAGTATAAGGTTGGAGAAGTCGTTATTTAATTTAACCCGGGTTCGTATGATTAAAAGCAACACGATCATCGACCCGACGCAGTCCCCCGTTGTTGTTGTTGTTGTTGTTGTTGTGAGCGCCGTTGGGGAGCAAATCAGCGATGTAAACGGTGACGTCATGACGCAGCAGCGGCAGCACCAGTCGGGCTCTGGGCGGTGTGAACAAAGCGGGAGCAGAAAAGGGAAACCGGAGCTGAACCAGAAAAGCTCTAGCACGGAGCTAGAATGGGAAAAGCGCTGGTGTGAAAGCCGCAAGAGGGGCGTGGGGAGTGGCTCCTTATTTTCATCTAAAGTAACAGACAGAGAATCAGCACCTTTGAAACAGGGCTGAAACAGAGGGGATTATGGGATGCTGCAATGGTCTGTTTGGTATTTTGAGCCAAACACTTCAGAGACATGGTTTGTATATATCTGAGACCTATAATATATTGATGGAAAACAGTATAATAGGGGACCTTTAAATTCCGTAGCAAACTTAACTATTTCAAGCCAAGCCAAGATATTTTACTAAACGAGTGCCTGCCTTTTTTGTTTCAATAAACATTTCATAATGTGCAACTCTAATCCAGGAGAAAATCAGTTTCCCTCGAAACATAATTGAGAATGTAGTTTGGTTGTATGAAAACATAACCTTATTGTTTACAGGGTTGGTTGAAGGTGGAAGTATCTGTATCTGTTCTGGCTAAATTCAATCTGAAAAACGAGGGCAAGAGCTTCTAGGAATATATTATGACTCAATATTATAAGTAATGTAAAAAAAAAAAAATGTAATGTAAAATAAAGTATAGTTACAGAGCCAGGGGATAGGGGTAAGATTTCCATAAAAAAACTCATAAATCCAGGACTTAAGTGGTTTATTTATATACAATTATTTATTTTATATTCTCCCAGATTCTCAAATCATATATTTGCACAAAAAAATCTAGTGTGTGTCAGAGAATAAAACCAGAGTAAAATAAAGGAAGTATATTTAATGCTAACCATCATCCAACTGGTGATGTTAACTTATGCTGAGGAAACTGTACTCACCTTGAAGAACTTTCCCAAAGCGATGTAGTCCAGTCCGTCGGAGCAGTTGAAGACCACACATTGCTTAGCCACAGCTTTGGCCAAATCTTTGGTCGTCTCTGTTTTTCCTGTGCCAGCCGGGCCCTCAGGGGCCCCTCCCAAATGGAGACTAAGGGCCCCAAACAAAGTGCTGTGGTAGGGGGAACAGACAGGAGAAAGCTTGTAAAACACCTTAAGCGCTTTCAGTGATAAATGAAACAAGATATTCCTCATCAAATGATAATGTGTATTTTTTTTTTATCCATAGACACGTCAAAATAACTTGCTGACAAACCACTTGGTAAATGTTAATGTTACTTCAGGCAAGCTGTCAGACTACCAAAATCAAATGTTTCTATGTAATGTCATTTTTTGCGCTTAATACAGTTACATTTATGGATGAACTGATGATTGTTGTAAAGGATTTGGAAACTTCTGCCATTTGACATAATGTTTGTTGGCCAGCTTCTAGCAGTAATCTTTAAAAAAATGCAAACTGCCCTAGAGGCTAGCTGAAGAACATTGTGTACAAAGAAACATGTTTGATCAATTTAAATTAACTCCCAGAAGCTCAGCAAGAAAAACTAAATACTGTCGCTGAAACTGATAAGAAAACGACAAGAAAATTAATTTAGAATCCAAATAGGGCTAAGAAGAGACAGAATGACAAGAGTTTGATTTATAATGTAGGGATATCCGGCATGTAAGTATTTCCAACCTGCGGTTTGTAGAGTCATCAGACAGTGTTTGATCTGCAAACACCTACGCATTATAAAAAAAAGGAAACCAGTGAACTGTTGATGGGAAGTTTCTTTACCGGTAGCAGCGGTCAGTAAGGGGGGTGATGACCAGGCGTGGAGTGTTCCCCAGGTATTCATAACCATAAGGCAAACCGGCATTGATCATCTTAGTCTGAAGCTGGTTCTCCTGCAAGGGGTGTGACACAGAGTTTACAAGGAGTAATACAGTAGTATGTATTATTAGTTTTAATAGAGTGGTGCAAGAATGAGTCCTACATTTAGAAATGAGTTAGCAATTTAGCAATTTAGCAATTCTGACTTCCGTTGATTTAAAGTAATTGGTTTTTGGAATTAGTTTTTGGTTAGATGCCTGAAATAAGGTCTGTGGTTGACACAAGCTTACAATATTTTGTTCTGCGAGATAAAATATGTCAGTAAAATACCCACTCTGAAAGGTTTAGGTGTCTTAAAACTGCAGTGAGTAACAAGTCTAAATGAGACTACTTAAAGGAGCCCTATTGTGCTCATTTTCAGGTTCATATTAGTATTGTGTGCCTCTACTGTGACATGTCTCCATGCTTTAATGTACAAAAAGGTCTTCATTTTTCTCATACTGCCTGTGCTGCAGCACCTCTTTTCACCCTCTGTCTGAAACCAGAGCCCAGTCTGCTCTGATTGGTTAGCTAGCCGGCTCTGTTGTGATTGGGCAACCTCTTAGAGAAGTCCCGACCCTCAGCCTATCAAGTACAATGTTTTGGAGCACTAGCCAATAGAAGCGCGAGTGTTACAGTGATGTCAATATGTTACGGAACTTTGATGTAGTTTCCTACAGCCTAAAGTTTGCGTTTTACTTGTGACGATTGCATTTGCGCTTTAACTATTATAAAGTGATGTTAACATGTGCAGATTATCCTGCTGAACAAAACATGTAAGTATCATAAGTGTGTGTTTGCCACAGACCTTGTTTCTGCTATATTCCCAAATACAAAATCCAATTGCTTTTAGTCGAGGGAATCCTTGAAATGTAAACTTCCAGGTGGGCCTACGAGAAAACGTCATCCCTGCACCACTCTTTAATGATTCCTCCTTTACATACCACCCAGTAGTAGCGCAGTTGGCTAAGCCACTCAAAGTCATTCTCGTCTTTTATTCCCTTTTGCACAAGTGTAGCGAGCACATCCCGGCCGTGCACGTCCAGCACGACGAGGGCTCCGAGGGTCACCCGGTTCTGCTTGGATAGCTTTCCGCGTACGAGTGAGACGATGTCGTCAATCTGTTTGTTGTTCTGCTCCAGGTAGGCATCTAAGGCCTGAGGAGGGGGGGGAGACGCATGATTAAATGGAAGGCAGAGCATGATGGAGAGGAAGCTATCAAGACTCCATCTATAAACTGAAGGTCACGAGTTTGATCCACTGCTATGTCTATCACTGTCAAGATGTTCATGAGGACAACACCACCCTTTTCCTTCTTTTGTAAGTGCATTGCTGGCAGGGTATAATCTTGTGTCTTGGAGGATATCATAAGAAAAATATATCATGTTACAACTGTATAATACAGCTGCTCACTGCAGACCTCTGCTGGTTACGTTTACTAAATAAGACGTGTCAGCTGATGAGATACAGGCGCTCTTATTTGATATGACACTTTTAAAAGAGTTTGAAATCCTCATTCAGATCACCTGTTTCAATATCTATCTCAGTCTGCATGTTTAACGTCGAGCCACAAGGTTATAATTACCGTAAATAAGACATTTATTGAAAGGTAATATCTCATGTATCACTTTGTTGACTTCATCTTGAGAACAAGTGATGGATCAACTAAGTGCTTTCACTCAAATACTGTATTTGAGGGCAGTTTTGAGGAACTTGAGTGTTTCCTCTCAATGATATGATATTTCTACACCACAGAGGGAAATATTTTTCTTTTAACTCCACTACGCAAGTTTTTACGTTAGTACCTTTACAGATTTAGATTCTTATACAAAATATAAATCAACTGATACATGATTTAATACATATTAAACTAGCCAGCAATATGTAGACGTGATGCAAATGTGCTCCACCTTTACCAGTTGCAATATGAAATGAATAATGCATCAATAATTATAATGCAGTGAGTAAGAAATATTATATTTCTGAAATTGATCCTGCATAATGAATAATGTTTTTTTTGGTAATACCTGTGTGCTTTTATTTAAGTTACAATATGAATGCATGCTTTATACATTTCTACTGTGTAGTATCTTCCACACTGTAAATGTTTTGTTTAGGCAGTTTCTCGTGCTCTGACATATTTTACAGTATGTAGCCATGGTTACAACAACTTTGATACAGACATGTGACTTCCAAGCATTCGGTAGATTATGCCTTTCAGATACTACAGTAGTGGTTGCCATGGTTACACCTTTGATTCAGGCATCATGGAACTTCAGAGCATTGTAGATGTAGGGAAACATGCTGCTCTGCTTCCTTTCTAACAGAGTTAAGCATGTGGGATAGATCTGTCTGTTAAACAAAAAAAATGTCCTTTGGACGATAAAACATTGTTTTCTCATGATAGGAACGACTCTAAACTACATTTTTAAATAGTACAGGTCAAGGACGGGCAATTTTTCAATCCAGATAGTTACAATAGTCTTTCCGTTCTTTCGGTATTGCGTAAAAAACAGCATTAACAGTTAGAATGAAAGATCTTAGGCATTATATCTTAAGTACCACACAATGGAAAAGAAAAGTTGATCACCTTTGGTCCTGAATGAATGGCTTCATTAATATCCTTGGTCCAGTAGACCTGTGAGACGCAGAGCACGGTCTGGCCCGGCCACGCACGCACCCAGTTGATCCTCAAATCTTTGGGGTACGCCTCGATAGCCTCCCCGACTACCTACAACGGACCACAAGAGGGACAGAGGCTTTCACTAGATTTTAGGGATTATGTGGGGAGAAGCCTTGGAAGCACAGGCTCAATGTTGGTGTCAAACTTTGACTTCACATTTGACAGACTCAAGCTCCTTCCAAATTTGTATCTCGCCTGCATGAATTTAGGTTCTCAATACATTTTTAGGCCGTCAAGAAGAATCAAGAAAATTGCATCACAGAACATATGTCATGGTTCTGAAAATAGGCCAATCAATATTAGCTAAATAGCATCCCAACATTGATGCATCATAATGTTATTTTAACTGACTGACTAAACAGCGGACTAAATGCTGTGATGGCTTATTCCCTTCACTTTTTAGATCTTTATTTGGAACAAATTGCATGAAGGAAATATTTGATATAGAAAAATACTATTTTCTTTTAAAAAATAACTAAAATCTAATCTTTTTTTGATTAAATACAATATATGTAAATAAACTATATATGTCTGGCCCTTGATGTGTTTTTTTAGTGTGGCAGTTTGACACAGCAGCTCTTGTGAATATAAATCTCATTTGAATACCACCAGAAAAAAATATGCATTCATATGTTTGTGTATTTAAGTGAAGCTGACACCAAAAATGACAAACACACCTTGTGCAGGGAGGCCATCATGCCATTCTCCAGTTCCAGGAGCCACTTCTCCACCTGGCCCCTGGTTTTGGAGGTGGAGATGACATCCAGCAGCTCTACCGTTTCCCCCTCACTGCTCTTCATGTGGGTGATGTCCAGCGCTTTGGTGAACACCACGCTAGCAATGCCTTCAAAGCACTTCTTCAGATGGGGCTGCACTCTGGAGGAGAGGAAGGCAAGAACATCTAATAACTTCCATATTGTGTTATATCCAAGTTATATTTTACACTGGCCCTCTGCATTTAGAGATTTTATGCACTTTCACATTCACAATTACGACGCCATATTAGGACCACTGAAGGTAAAATACAAGGCAGGGGAGAGGTAACATTTGTGATTTAGTTTTTTTCCAAGATTAAAAACATTTCAGAGGAAAGCATCTTGAATATTCTCTGACATTATAAAATCACAAATATACAAAAAGAACCAAGAAAATGTTTTTTTTTTAAACTTGTAAATTTGTCATATTATGGGAACATTTCCGACAGTTTTCATTTTGCGGTTTGACTTTTCTGTTTCTAATATATTTATGAGTTTTTTCTCCTAAATCTAAAATGTTATTATTAGCGATATCCATGATTGTTTCTTCCAAATGTAACAACTTTAATCTTGTATTTCTTTAGTTTTTCCCTATATTAGCTCTCTAACCTGGCTCTGTAACTCTGTAATGTTTTTTATCTGTGACACACACAATGGAAACACTGATCTTCTCAATTTAAACGAATGCAGCTTTTTTTCTCCGGCCGCATAATTGCCCAAGCTTTATTCACTTCATATTGCTATAGGCAACCCCTAGAGTGAAGATGGCTTATTAGCCTACGTTTAAACTCAGTGTGCACGCCGTCTTTTGGCAGATAATGACTGTAACATTTAGAACACGAAAGACTAATGATGCACCCAGTCTGAACACCCTCCTGTGAAATTGAAAAAATGAAAGACTGCTGACATGAAGCAAGAGAAGAACTGTGTGTAGAAGAAATCCTGATCCCCGTCTCCCTTTTTTTTAATTAATTGTTATAAGACAATTGCTTTTTAGTGTTGCTGCTTCTCCACCTGAACACCAGCTGCTGAAAGGTCAAACTAAACCAAGCTTAATGAGATAATTTGAACACGTGCAAATTCATGCTCATATGTTGATGATTGTCCTCGCTGTATTTCATCCCTAAATAGCACAAAACAGTGGTAAAAGAAAAGAAAAAGGCTAGCAAGTGGACCTTGAGTCAAACTACTGTTTTAAAGGTCACTAATTAATTTGAACAGTTATTTTTAGTGTTGAGTTATTCTTTAAAAGGTCATGGAAGCACTTGGGGGGGGGGTTGCCCACTCTCATTTTTCTCTCAGACTTCCTAGAACATTTAAGGAATACATTTATTAGAATATGTCGGGGGAACTGTGATACTATGCAGCTGCGCCCCAAAAAACTTCCACCAGACTTTTATTGTTCTTTATTTTCACAGCATGTCCTGTGACTTTTGCCGCTGCACAAAACTATTCTTGTCTTTAGAATCAAGATTGACAGGTTTTATTGTCATATGTATGGTGGCCGACAAAGGCAAATCCGTAACAACAGCCCAAAACTCGTGAATAAGGAGAAATGCACTGCAGTTTCAAAAACGGTGCAAATATAAAAACACAAATGGGCCAAAACAAATGCAAATTACAAAAAATCTTAACCAACTTGAAAACACATGCGCAGCATTTAGAAAACATTCACCAACTTGATGAAACATGTGCAGTGTTTACTAAAAGGCATAAACACATGCTGCAAATACAAAACACTGCAAGAAGCTCAAAACTCAACGTACACTGGGACACAGCTGGGACAATAGTTGGCCAATTGTCACTGGAAACCTGAAATCTAAGTTTTATTGGCTTATTCTAAGAACGGTATCGCATGATTCCTTCTAATATTATTATTATATTTTAGATATGCTGTAAGCTAGCTCACTAACGAAGCTAACTTAGTCATTTCAAATATACTAACAAAACACTTGCAGTTATGAAACAAGTGCACCAGTTCCAGCTGTGTGCATCACTTTTTATTGTCCCCCTTTCCATTCTGTTTTGTGCTTCTTGCAGCGTTTTGTATTTTTTTTAGCGTTTTGTGTTTGCAGTGTTTTGTTTACGCAGCACTTTTAGTAAATGCTGCACATGTTTCTACATTTGCATGTGTTTTAGCACATTTGTGTTTTCTTATTTTTATCAATTTTGAAAGTGTAGTGTTTTGGGCCGTTGCCCCTCTCGGCCACCGTATATATGCATAAATGCCACAGTGTAGTTATTGGCAACGAAAATCTTAAGTCCCAGGCCCCGAAAGAGGGCAACATATGATATACTTAAGACATAAAGAAATAAGGAAATAAAATAGTGATATAATGGTGCAAATACATGCAGGAATAAGTAAACATGTCCTAAGTAATGTAACTGCACCTTCTTATTAGAATAGTCCTTCTTATTGTTACTAACTAATCCAGTAAACAAAGTATTTTTTTAACCTTGCTTCATATCTATATGTTTCTCTTTCTTGTTCTCGCTGTGGGCGAAAACGTTCTGGAAAAATTGAAACAATTATTTAAAAGCTCAAGCAATAATACTTTGGCATTTGGCACCTTCTATCCCTGAAATACCATTGACCATTAACTCAAATTCGCAAGAAATTATAACTTGAACTTTCCCAACAATACACTTCCAACGCCCCCACAGCGGCATTAAAATCCCCTCTCTGCAGAGGAGGTCACAACTGTGGGCATCTGTAATGATGTGATGACAATTCCCAGATGTGAGAATAAAAGGATAGTAGAGTTCAAATGAAAAGAGAAAAGAAGATAGTAAAAAGGAAGATGATATTTTGTCAGGAATCACATATATTATTAACCAAATGCCCTTGGTCAAAAAGACGAGGGTGGGTTATCAGTTAGGACTGTGGGGGCTGAGTATGAGTTGTAGTTAGCTGAATATTGTAAGCCCTAACATCAATCTCCGTAATACTTTTTTAGGTAATGTCAAATGCTGAATGTCTAATTTTAGTCTTTTTTTTTTGCCACTAATGCTGTAATATTGTTAATGTCGTGTGCTAGTTTTAGCCATTTACCTTGTGGGGTCTTTGGTCTCTGAGAGGATTTCTAGCAGCTCCTCATTAGACAGGAAGAAGAACCGTGGAAAATAGAGACGCTTCTTCTCCAGGTAGCTGTTGAGGCCTTTCAGGATCATATCCAGAAGCTCGTTGGACTTTTTCAGCTTTTCTAGCATGTTGTCGATGGCGATTACTGCCAAGACATGCATGTCCTAACACAGAGAAGTGAGAATAGAGTACATTTTACATTTTGGTTTAAGTTATTTTAATTCATTTCAACATAGTACGTTGTTTTTGTGGTCAACTACCAACATCATCACAACTCGTGGTTAGGATCAGCATCAGGAATTAAGCAGGGCAAAGTGAAAATCTCAGAATGCTCCGAAGGGGCAAAAATACCACAAAGGTTTAATTAGTAAATTAATTAATTAATAATACATTAATAATAAAAAGGTATATTATAAAGAAAATACATGAAGAAAAAGAAAAAAAAAAGCCTTCATTAAGCCATTTAAAATTAAAAACAGCAACTTTATCCACAAATTACTACACTTTTTTAAGTGCCATCCAATTGTTGCAAACCTTTTTTGCATTTTCCACAATTAATTCAACTTCGTATATTTTATTTTTATATGTATCTGTTCTATTTCCTTGCTTTTTATTGATACTTACTTTAATTTGTAAAGCACTTTGGTGTTTGTAAAAAGCGCCTTATGAATAAATCAAGTTCAATTGAGCTTTCTCTAATGGGTCACTCAAAGCCTGGATGTGAGAAAGCAGCAATTTTCTCGCATTATCTCCTCTGACAGGTACATCTCGACTTTTGCACCAGGAGTAGCACCCTCTCTGCAAAGTGGCCGACGTGATGCATAAAAGCATTTGAGCTTTTGGATCTACAAGCTTTGTCATCGCTGCCTTGAAATGAAATACTAAAACACTGCAATATCTTTCTTTAGCAAGACGTGCTCCATGCTCCACAGTGAGGCACACTTGAAACAAAGCACTCTTCAAAAATATATGAAGAAACAGTAATACATATTTTACCTGAGGCATGTCTCACAACTCAAAAATATTTCAGCTATGATATAATTGTATCTTTACTAAAACTCAATATTCTTTGGCACCAACCGGAAGAATCTAAAGAAAAAGCCTAATCTACAAGGTCAGACAGTGAATGGTGGAACCTACTCAAAAGGAACATTTTAGAATTAAAGCGCATATAATCTTCTCAATGTAATACAAATTAAATGCAGAAATTAGCAAAATTCTGAGCTAGTGTAGCCCAACTTAATGCAATAATAAAAAAATGATTTACATAACCACTCATTTAAATAATCATGGTGTGTTTTTTAAGAGATTCTGTACCAAATAAGGATTTGTATTGAGTCTGTAGAATTTCGATAACATTTTGACATATTGTGCTCATTTTCAGGTTCATATTAGTATGTTGTTCCTCTACTGGGACATGTCTCCATGCTTTAATGTTCAAAAAGCTCTTTATTTCTCTCATACTGCCTGTGTTGCAGCACCTCTTTTCACCCTCTGTCTGAAACCAGAGCCCAGTCTGCTGTGATTGTTAGCTGGCCGGCTCTGTTGTGAGTGGTCAACCTCCTAAAGATTTCTCGCCAATTAGCATATCACCTACAGCATAGCGCGAGTGAGTGTTACATAGTGGTGTCACTATGAAACGGAAGTAAACAAAGGAGTCCAATGGAGGCGTTTCAGGCAGAGGGGGTTGTGTGGCAGGAAAACTCCCTCAAAAGTGATAAAAACAAAAAAACAGCTCTGCTTCTCCTGGTGAGAAATATAAAACTATCTTTGTTTTGTTGCTCTCCAGTTTTTTAATTATCACTAACCCAGTCCGCCTATAAACATCTTATTATAGAACATTTCACCCTGCAAAAATAACACTAACCCTTTGCACAATGCAACACTTGACAACATAGCTTTTTCAAAAAGGAACAATATGCTGTGAGGGGAAACAGCTGGTATTGATTAGCTAGCTTACAAAAAGGATGTAATACTCTCATGTTTGTTTGATGCGATCGATTTGCCTTGAGACGTTTATTTTTACTTGAGACTTTTCACGTCTCCTGGCAACATGCAACGTGTAATGTCAAAACAGAACCATTTAAAAATCAATAGGAAGTCTTCAAAAGTTCATGTACAGCTGTAAGACAACAATAGAAGACATTACAGTTATGGTATATTGTGGCAATATATGTCAATGTGAATAGGAAAGAATGAGAATGTTGGGCATTTGAGAAATAGAAAATAATTGTACAGAATGAAAAGTAAATTCTCTCTGGGAAAGCAGCAAAGAAGAGGAAGCTGATTATTGCATTGCTTTGACTTGGCACAGCTTCTGGTTTGCATTAAATATAAAGGTCACTGTCCAGGACAGTGGACAAGGAGGCTCAGCCACTCAAATACTTTTAATGAAGTTCTGTTTTGAAACTACAACCACAGAGAGCATCTAGAATGAGAAAATAATTATTTTTGATCCCTCATGATTTGCTATTGATTTCTTATGTGGAGTGAAAGCAGCGGCTGCTGACTCATGCCAAAGCCACTTTTCCTCCCCCTGGGCTCAGCATATAATAAATAAAAGTAATAAATAAATGGCATGAATGAGAGATGAAAAACATTTAGATCAGGTTTTTTTTTTTTTTTTAAGGGAATAGTCTGTGTAAAATACTCAAGCTACGGTTAGCAACTGACTTTAAAGGCTAAATCGCAGACATTGTGTTTCATTGAGGCGTACAATTATACCGGCAAATTGAGTGTCTGATTGAGTGTGATTCCAGCTCTTTATAGATTTCATCAGGACAATGTTATAACTTGTTTTTGAGTGAGCCAGCCAGAAGCTATTTATGACCACACTGAAGGGATAACAATGCGCTAATGTCTGTATTGTGCCTGATAGTGTGTGTTTTATACACCAAACAGATGGCTTCAATGGGGGACAGCAACTGTTTATAGCGGATATGGCAGCTCTGCAATCTGTGTGGGGGAATTACATTATCGAAAAAAAACATTTGTCTTTGTTGGAATCTAAAACACACACACAAACACACAAATGGTACATGGACTGCATTTATATAATGCTTTTCCATTCTTTGTGACCACTTTAAGTGATTTAACATAAGTCAGCATTCACACATTCATACAGAGGCAGAGGCTGCCAGAGACGGCGCCCCTGCTCAAAGAGGCTACACTCACCCACCTTTACACACTTTTGGCCATCAGGAGCAATGTTGGGTTCAGTATCTTGCCCAAGGACACTTGGACATGTTGAATGCATTGGCTGGGGATCGAACCAACAACCTCCTGATTTGAGGTGGAACATCTACCCAGTGTTGTAAGAAGTACTCAGATCCGTAAGTAAAAGTAGAAATGCTATGTTCTTCAGATGCTCCATTATAAGAAAAATTCCTGTATTTAAAATGTTACCTGAGTAGAATTACAGAAGAATTATCAGCTAAATGTACTTAAAGGTCCCCTATTATACTCTTTATCAACAATACATTAAAGGTCTCAGATATATAAAAAACATGTCTCTCAAGTGTTTTGCCTGATCACAGTGGCCTAATCTGATCAGCTCATTTTCAGACAGGTTTTTAAATAAATGGATCAAGACAAAAAGAGAGAGAATCTTTTTTCCTGAAACCTTCCGAATCTCTGTACACAGGGGGACACTTATTTATGTATAAAATACATGAAAAAGTGGATTTTGCATAATAGGGGACCTTTAAAGTATTTTTTAAAAAGTACTCTATATGCAACAAATACATGTAAGAGAAGTGTAATGTTGTAGTCCGTCAATGTGGAGCAAATACTTATTTAAAGAGGCCCTGTTATGCTTTTTAGGGTTTTCCCTTTGCTGTAGAGTGCTATATCGTTGTTTGTGCATGTAAATGCTCTGCAAAGGCTACAATCCCTGTGTTCCCTCCTGCACACTCCCAATTCAGAGCAGACTGGGCTCTGGTGTCAGACAGAGGGTGAAAAGAGGTGCTGCAGCACAGGCAGTATGAGAAAAATAAAGAGCTTTTTCAACACTAAAGCATGGAGACATGTCACAGTAGAGGCACTAAATACTAATGTGAAGCTGAAAAATGTGCAGAATGGGTCCTCTTTAACATATCATGTGTTTTTATATGATAAAAGTAACTAGACACTATAGGTGTTGAATACATGTAGTGCAGTGGAAAGTACTATATTTGCCTCTGAAATGTAGTGGAGTAGAAGTATAAAGTAGCATAAAATGAAAATACCCAAGTACCTAGTATAGTACGTAAGTACAGTACTTAAAGGAGCTCAGTTACATTCTATCACTTCAACTACATCGGAGCCACAGCTGCCTCTAACATACACACTTGACATCCTGTACAAATATAACCCTGTATGTTCAACGCACATTCTGCAGAGCTTTATATCTGCATGGGCATGAGTGCAATATTAAGTACGCTATTCTTTTGCTGACTACTATTGTCTTATTATTTCTGGCTCTATTAGTAAACAATATGTCAATCATCTTCTCCATGAGCTCAGATGGTCAACTGTGTCTCGCTGCCTCAGCTCATTAGAGGGGTCAAAGATTTGAGGTGCATCACATTTTAAAGAAAGGGTTCATAGACATACGTCTTTTTCTGCAATGCATGCAGTAATACAGAAGATACATGATATATTGAAGAAGGCAGCAAATCAAAAAGAAAACTAAAAAGAAAGTTGTAAGGTGCTGCTGGAGGATCAGTGGATCTTGAGCAGCTCCCTGTGGTTGATCTGATATTAACAGGTGAATTGTGGGTAGGAGAGCCTCTCTGTTGCTGCCCGCCTTTTTGCTCACTCCTTTCTTTGGTAGTATAGAGTTGAGATGATTCCAATTTCATGCACTGCTGATCAATGCCATGGACGAGATGAAGGGATGTGTTCTTTGTCAAGATTGTGATGCAGTGTACGCCTATGCCTGGGGTTAGTTGTTCCTATAGCTGGCCTACATGGTGTGGGGAGTGAGACTGATTAGCTTCGAACATGGCAAGGAACTGGGGTTGCATAAAAAGATCAAAGTGTAAATCAGTGGTTCACAACATTTTTCCTCAAGGGACTCCTTTTATATAATTAAGTCAACTGACTAGGTGACATGGTTCATGTATATTTTGTAATGTATTTATTGTATAACATAAACAAAACAGATTAATTCTACAATCAACCA